GGATGCATTTTACTCAGTGCATTTTGTAGAGTCACATGTTGCAGCTTTATCTCTGCCAGACTTCAGGAGGTCCAGAGTACCTGGAAGGTCCCCTAGACTAGGCTGTCTCTTATGGCTAACCATCTCCCCAGATATCGATGAATGTGGGGAGATTCCAGACATCTGTACCCACAGTTTCTACATCAATCAGATCAGAAGCTTCCACTGTGCATGCCCCATTGGCTTCAACTACAGTAGAAACTTCTGACCTGTGAAGGTGCAGCACACAGAGTCCTGAACTCTAGAGCCAGGATCTCTCTCTCTCTCTCTCTCTCTCTCTCTCTCTCTCTCTCTCTCTCTCTCTCTCTCTCTCTCTCTCTCTCTCTCTCTCTCTCTGTCTCTCTGTCTCTCTCTCTCTCTCTCTCTCTCTCTCTCTCTGTCTCTCTGTCTCTCTCTCTCTCTGTCTCTCTCCCTCTCTCTCTCTCTCTCTTTTTCCCTCCCTCCCCCCATCTCTACAGTCTGAACAAACCACGTAGAAACTCCATGAGCTCCAGTTTCCCCATCTGTATAACAGAACTGACACCTTCCCAAGGGTCTCTATATAGTATAATCACCCTAAGCCAGTTCTAGTTGCTTGCAGAGCCAAAATTGGGTTGGGGTTCCACCAGGATAGGCTTTTGTTTCACCCTGTCCCATTCGTGGGACTCCCCAGATGTGGATGAGTGTGACAACAGAAAGGGGCTCTGCCAGAGGAACGCAGACTGCATCAATGTCCCTGGAAGTTATCAGTGCAAGTGTGCCCAGGATTTGAACTGTCACCCAGTGGGACATGTGTAGGTGAGTGGAGACCCCAGGGAGGTGACAGGTTAGACTTAAGCAAAGCAAAAGGTATGGAGGTAAGCCAGCCAGGTTTTGTCACCTGCTGTGGCTCAGACAGCATGTGGCTGTCACTGTTGGGGAATGGAAGGCAAGCTCAGAGAGCAACCGTAAGCAGATAGAGTAAAACTAAAAGGTGACAGGTGCTGGGCCTGATGTCAGCAGCATAAGGGCCTGGTGGGAGATTGAATGGGGCTCCAAACAATCTTACTCCATGCTCCATGCTTGTATTTCATGTGGAGATCTTGGCGAAACATTATCAGGTGGGGTTCTTGGAGACATCATGTTGCCAGCATCCCTCAAGATGGAATTAGTGTTGGGACATCCCAAATGTCTATAGCCATGGTGACTGTATGGACACTGGGGACAGCTACATGTGTCTCTGTCACCATGGCTTCTAAGCCTCAAATGACCAAACCATGGGCCTGGGTGACAGCATCTCCAGTTAGACTGTCTGAGGTCTTCATTGTCCTTTTTATCTATCCTAATTTACACCTCCTCCAAGATTTAACCCCAGACACTGAGATCTTGAGAGTCTGGGTTTTCCAATTTGTCAAATGGGCATCGTTGATACTATAATGGGTATACTTTCCAGTTATCTCCTCAGGGCTCAGTTTCCAGCTTTTGGGCAGGGTTAGAGGCAGGGGAGGAAAGTGAGCTCCACCTACTTTGACCTTCTGGTTAATTAATGCCCTAGGATGAGTCTTCTGGGTTTGTGGGTTTTGCTCTGACAGACCTTGATGAGTGTGACCAGAAGCCATGTGGAAATGGGACCCACTCTCAGCATTCCTTGGTTGCCTGTAATTCTTTGGGGTTAAGGTCTCCTGGACTTTAACTTGTCCAGTTTAGCATGTCTATTATTCTTGTCTTTTTTCAGTTCATGTTTATGCAGTCATATTGGTGAGAGTTTATGAGTATAGCTTCAGACATTACTAGGAAATACGATATCACAGCAAATTCCCTGACCCCTTGATCCTCTGGATCTTACAGTTTTTATGCCTCCTATTCTGCAATGTTCCCTGAGTTGTATTGTAGAGGTGTCCATTGGAATTGGGATCCACAACTCTGCATTTAGATTGGTTGTAGTTTTCCGTAATGGTCTCTATCTCTTTCAGTAAGAAGTTTCCTTGATGAAGGGTAAAGACTACACTTGTCTGTGAGTTAATATAAAGACATATTGGGGATCGTGCTGGTTTAGTAGAGAGGTGGTTGCAGGTTCTCCTCCAAGATTCATGACTTCACTGGAACTGAATTATTGACAGTTTTCAATACAAGACCTGATTTACCTCTTGTTGAATGAGTCTTAGGTCCAATTAGAGAACCGTTGGTTACCACCAAGCTATGTGTGCCATTACTGCATCCCTAGGATTATCGTGTCATGCTGGTCATTGTAGATTGTAGGCATCATAGCTGGGTAGGACAGCCGGTTGCTTCATCCTTTGGAAGCTTGCATGGTACCTTCTGATCCCATGAAAGCTAGTCCTCAGAGAGGTGTCACTGAAGTAAGTTCCAGCTGAGGGTTGTCTGGGCCTTACGTCTGAAATGCATAGTGTCTTCAGCAAGAGGGAATTATCTTCTACCTCTGGCAGGGGAGGCAACAAAGGACAACAGCAGTGACCTAAAATGTTTTGTGAGTCTCTTGGACAGCCCTTGAAACAACTCAAAAGAAGGCTTTCTTGTATCTGGTACTGGGACTTTTGTTAGGTGTTCTTGGGCTCTTGTAGGGATGATTGTCAATTTTATTTATTTAAACTATATAAGTATGCTTATACACACACTTGTATTATAGTGATTTTAGATATGTAGTTAATAGTATGATTTCTTATTTTTTTAACTATCTTTGCTGTTATTTTACCCTCCTTCTGTATTTACGCTCCCCTTCCTAATCAGAGTCCCCCCACATTTCCCTGATCTGATCACTTGTACCCCTGCTGTTCTTCTCTTCTATTGCTTCCCCTACCCCCAGCACTGATCCCTTTTTACTGTCCTGCTTTCTTCAGTTACTCCAGAACATGTACTCACATCTGAAGATTTGGAGCTAGGAGTCTCCAATGAGAGAGAACACGTCCTTCTGGGTCTGGGTTACCTCACTGAATATGATCTTTTCTAGTTCCATTCATTTACCTGTAAGTTCATGACTCCATCTTTCTTTTCATATGAATAGTATTCCATTGTGCATATGTACAATATTTTCATTATCCATTCATCGGAAGAAGGACATTTAGGTTATTTTAGTTTCCTAGCTTACTATGCATAGAGCCACAGCGAACATGGTTGAGCAAATATCTGTGGAGTATGATGTTGAGCCCGTTGGGCATAGCCAAGGAGTGGTGTAGATCCTCTGTTTTATCTTTGAGACCTGATATTCTGTTCTGCTTGATTCATTTTACATGTAAGACTTTCCTTTGAGTTTTCTAGTTACTGAGTTTTTCAGTTTCATCTTAACTTCAGTTTGAGTTCTCTTCAGTGTTTCTGTCTCCATATTGAATTCCATTCTCAAGTCCTGTGCTATCTTCATAATTTCCATCAGCTTATATTTGTGTTTTCTTCTGTGTTCTCACATGTTTGTGCTCCTTAATTTCTTTTCCCTTAAATCATGAGGCTGTTTCTCTGTGTCTTTTTTTAAACTTCAGGATTCTTTGATGAAATTTATGATTGTTCTCTTAAATTCTGTGTCCTGGGATTAGTCTAATTTTCATGAGTAAAAATTTCTACAGGACTGGTGGGTTTTGGAAAAAAGATAATGACTTGATTTTTTTCATATTGGTGGTATTTTTGCAATGAGATCTGGGCATTGTAGATGGGCATTTCCTGTCTTGACCACCTATTCCCAAATAACCACTCTAAAGCTTATATTAATTGCAAATGCTCAGTCAGTAGTTCAGGCTTATTACTAACTAGCTCTTACATGTTAAGTTGATCCATATTCCTTATTTACCATCTGCCATGTGGCAGTACCTTTATTAGCATGGCACGTTCATCTTCTGTTCTCTCTGCATCTGGCTAGCATCTCCTGACTCTGCCCTTCTCCTTCCCATCATCCTTAGTTTAGTGGTCCCACCTGGTTAGCTACTGGGCAATCAGCATTTTATTAGACCAATCTGAGTGACAAATCTTTATAGTGTACAAGAGGAATATTCCACAGCAGGGCATCTGCACTTCTTTAGTTCTAAGTCTGATGTAGACAGATGAGGTTGGGGCAGAAGAGATATTGTGTAGGCAGTTTGGGCCTAGAAGTTGGAAATGGCTTCGGTGGAATGAAATCATTTGGTCAGTATGTGACTAATCCAAGCCTAGAGTATGGGGGTAGATATAACTGGTTGCATCACTAGGCAAACCATTTAATCTTCTGTGCCTCCATCTCCGTTGTCTGGAAACAATAGTACCTCCAGGCACAAATATCAGACGACATAGTTCTTCAGCAGAAATATTATCAGAGACAGAGGGGCACTGAGCTGAAGAGAGCTTGCCTAGTATGCTCAAGGCTGTTTTGAAGATTGAAACACAGAGTGTATGTTGAGCAGGCTCATCTCTCTGAGAAGACCTAATCATAAATACATAGATAATCCAAAAGTAGAGCTCACAAATGGGCTGAGGATGTGAGGGGTCACTGGTGAAGAGCCTCAGTCCCCAGCTCCTGCACAGTGACTCATAGTCATCTGTAACTCCAGTTCTATGGGATCCAGTACCCTCTTCTTACCTCCACAAATACCGACACACATGTGTTTCACATAAACTCATACAGTTCATACATACACACATAAATAAAAATTAAAAATTCTTTTAAAAATAAAAAATATTTTAATTACAGAAAATTTAGTGAATTAAATTTAAAGTTAATAAATCAAAATATATAATAAATAATGAAATAGTAAATTAAAATAAAGTATATTTTAATTAAGTAGGAATTAAAGCATAAATCTAAATGTGTGGGATGAAATTAATTGAGTACTTAGTGATAAATTCATAGCATTACATAATTGTATATTAGAAAATATTGGCACCTACCTCACAAGATAAGATGTAGAGGCTCTTCATGAGTCCTTAATAAATCAAAGTGAGCCTGCTAATTTAGTTGTGTACAGAAATGCAAGGAAGGTTCAATCCCCTTGGGATCCATGGTGACCTTCCTATGCCCTCTGCAGACACTGATGAATGCGCCATCTTGGTGGGACAAGTGTGTCACTTCGGCCAGTGCCTCAACACAGCCGGTTCCTTCCACTGTGTCTGCCAAGATGGCTTTGAGTTCAGAGCCGGCAGGAAGGACTGCATGGGTGAGTCTCTCCCTCGGCACCAGTGCCCATCTCAGTGAGTCTGCTCCGCATACACCCGCAGATGCTACTTTTGACTGAGCATAGCTCCAGTTAACATCTGTGCGTTTCTTAAGTTGAGAATTTCATACATACATATGTGTTCTGATCAAATCCACCCCCAGTGCCCTGCTCTCCGCCTCCCCGCACATCGACCGCTACTTTCCTTCCCAGCTCCATGTGCTCTTTGTTAAGCACACTGAAGCCACTCACTGTTGCCTGTGTGGGAGTGGGGGTGGGGTCATCTGCTAGAGCTCAGGCAACCTGGGGGGAGGCATATCCTGGACAAAAACTGACACCCTCCTGCAGCAGCTGGCAGTTGCCAACAGCTCTTCGGGTGGGGATTGAACTTGGTGAGCTCTTTACTCATCCATCTTATTTATTTTAAGGCATAAAAAAGAAGAGCTGACTATAGTTCAGGGTGAGGCTGTCTTGCAAATGGGAAAGTTATGAGATAACAAATGGCAGTTGTACGGAGTGGATGGTATGGAAATCTTGGAGGGAACCTACAAGTGGCCCATAAATCTTGCTACCTGCATCCCTCCAGGTCCATAAACCCAGCAAGAGCAAAGAACCCTTCCTTCTTCTGCTGCCCCTGTGTTCCGGAGCCCCAGCCTTTCTCTTGAACCCAAAACTGTCTCTGGAAGGGTTTGTCCCCCATGTAACCTGAAGGTGTTGACTATACCTCAGGGAGCACTCAGCCTCCTCTCTGGCGTTGAATTCCCCTCCTTTTCTCCTCCACAGATATCAATGAGTGTCTGAGCCGCCCAGGGACCTGCCTGCCAGGCACCTGTCAGAACTTGGAAGGCTCCTTCCAGTGCATCTGCCCCCCTGGCTTCCAGGTGCAGAGTGGTCATTGTATTGGTGAGTGTCCACCATCCTATGAGAGTGTAGATGCCCACAGCACAGCACCAAACACAGCTCTGTGATTATCAGAACTGTCCTGGGGATAGCTCAGGCCTTTCTCTCAGGGCCCAGGGGCTTCTTTGTGAACCCTATAAAATATTCCTGGTTTGGAGTATCACTGTGTTCAGAGACTCCATTGAATTTTCACCCACAAGAATCTTTTCATGTACTTTAAACTAATTAGTCTAATTTGATCTTAGCTCATCAGGTTAGTCTCATTGTATAGGATAACCTGAACTAGTCTAGTCCGAGTAGGTGGATTAGCCTGTGGGCAGAAATATAAGGAAAGCTCAATAACCTTGGGGTTCAGGGGACTCTAGCTTACCATTCCCCCTCTGCAGGCACTGATGAGTGTGCCACCTTGGTGGGGGCTCAGTTTGGCCATGATCTGAACTAGTCTGATGCAACTGCTGATAATCCCGTCTTCCATTTGTACTAACCTTTCACAATCTGGGTTGGCTTGACCTGCCAACAATGATACATTTTCCATTTGGGCTAGCCTTGTATAACCTGCGCTAACTTGGAGCATTCTGGCTTCAGCAAATGTGCTATTGTGTATAGAATGGACTCATTTAGACCAGTTCAGCCTCGTCTTTTCTAATTCATTCTATCTAGGCGAACCTGGTACATGAGGTAACTCCAACTAGTACAGGCAAAATATCTTTAGGCTCAATTAACTTTGCCCAGTTTTAAGTCTCTAATGATGAACTTGGACCAGTGACATGTTTCAGCAGGTAAAGGAACTAGCTACCAAGCCTGAGCTTGATCTTTGGGATTCACCTAGTGGAAGAGAGAACTGACCCCTGTAGGTTGCCCTGACTTCCACACATGTACACGCAAAATAAATAAAAGTGTAATAGTTGTTGTTTTTGAGGCAAGGTCTCACTGTGTTGCCCTGGCTATCCTGGAACTCTCTATGTAGAACAGGCCAGCCTACAACTTACAGAGGTCTACCCCCGTCTATGTAGAACAGGCCAGCCTACAACTTACAGAGGTCTACCCCCGTCTATGTAGAACAGGCCAGCCTACAACTTACAGAGGTCTACCCCCGTCTATGTAGAACAGGCCAGTCTACAACTTACAGAGGTCTACCCCCGTCTATGTAGAACAGGCCAGCCTACAACTTACAGAGGTCTACCCCCGTCTGCTTTATGTGTGCTAAGATTCAAGGTGTGCGCCAGCATGACCAACATTTTTCGTAGATGAACTTCTGAGCCTTGGGAGGTGGCTCAGCAGAGAGCATACTGCTCTTGCAGAGGACGGTCACCCACACCAGGCAGCTGACAACTGCCATCTCCAGAGAGACCCGATACCTCTGTCCTCCAGAGGCCCCCGCACTCATAGGTGCATTCCCACATACACATGTGCACACGCACAAACACGCACACTTCAAAGGCATAGAAATAAATTTAGAAGATGGCTGTGACCCCTACTCTGAAGACACCTGAGAAATACCTGCACATACACACTGCCCACCTAGCAGGGGACACACCGCAGGCCCCCACCCTGCTACCACGTTTACGATGTCTCGCGTTGCAGAGCTAGACCCTGCCTGCTTTGCTGGAGCTGCGTGCTGCCCCATCTCAGCTCGAATCCCTGCCTCTGCAGATAGTGATGAGTGCTTGCAGGATCCCAGCCTCTGCTTGTCTGGCACCTGTACCAACAGTCCTGGGACCTTCCAATGCCTCTGCCCTCCTGGCTTTACCCTCTCCGACAGCGGGCATTACTGTGTTGGTGAGTGTCGTGAGAAATAGAAACGAATGCCTGCCCCAGGGCCTACAGTTCAATTTAGCCAGTATCAGCTGTTCAGGGAACATAGGCCCAGTGGTGAGCCATACCCCAGCCTGCCTATAATAACTCAGGCTGACAGACTGGAGACTGAGGGTCTGCCATATCAGGTCTTCCAGCCCTCTGCAATTTATCTTTGTCACTCTAAGAAACCTCTGGTCATTCCTCTATTTCCTCCCCTTACTACTTATGTTACCTCATTCATTCTCTAATGTACCCAATAACTCATTCATTCTCTTGTTCATCTACTTGTTCATAAACTAATTTATTCATTCCCTTGATTATTTGTTGATTTGTACTCATCCGTCCCTTGCCCATTTAGTCACTCATATACTCTCTAATTCATTCACTCATTTATTCATGCCATCGTTGATTTACTCCCTTGCTCACTCATTCATTCACCAACTCCCTTCATCATTCATGCATTGATTTGTCCCCTGGCTCATTCACTCTCTTACTCACTCATTCACACATGTGTTCCCCAAATCCTTTTGCCCATTCATACACTCTCTTGTTCATTCTTTCAGTCACTCCAACTTCTCATTCTCTGAACATATACCCACAGACAGCCTGGAGGTGCCACAAATCTTGCCCTGTCAAACCTGTGTCAGTCAAAATCAAACGCACAACAGTGTTTAGGGTAGAGAGCTCTCTTCGAGTGATGATGTCCCCGTCACTTATCTCCAACCATACACAGATGAATGTTCCATTGGAGAGCCCTGTGGGGAAGGCATTTGCACCAATGTCATTGGAGGTTTCAAATGTACTGATGGCTTTGAGCCTGTTCCCATGCTGACCTGTGAATGCATGATGCTTCCTGAGCAGGATCAGAGCTGTATAACAGGGAGTCTCTAGTACTAATCCACAGGAGGTACCCGGGGTACCCCATGGAGAGCCTGCACAGATGAAACCTCTGCTGGCCTCCACAGACATTGATGAGTGCACTCTGAATCCACTGCGCTGTGCTTTCCGCTGCCACAACACTGAGGGTTCCTACCTGTGCACCTGCCCAGCTGGCTACACACTGAGGAAGGATGGCGCCATGTGCCAAGGTACGGTCTGCACAGACTGGCAATGGGTAGGGCTCTCTGATTCCCCACCAATGATCTTATGCTCCCCATTGTGTAGGAACATCACACCAAAACTGGCCCTGACTTTGACCAGATCCAGATGTGGTCTTGGCACTTCAGTTTACTGTCTTTAAGTGGTACTGAGCCCCAGAAGTGAGCAGCAAGGAAGCTCTCAGAGCAGACAGCTGAACTAGGGCATGAAGTAGGGCTTGGTTTTAGAGAAGAAGTATTTTTTTCTTTTTGGGGAAGTAGTAACTTTTTGCTATAGACTTGCTGTACTAGCATGAGGACCTGAATTCAGACCTAAGCACTCACCTCAAAACCTGGGTGTGGCCACATGAAGGCCTTTAACCCCAGCTCTATAGAGACAGAAGGATTCATGGGGCTTGCTGGCTGCTAGCTTAGCTCTAGGTTCAGTAAGACTATCTAGAGGAAATAAGGCAGAGTGTGACAGAACACGGTATTGACAGCCTCCTCTTCCCTCTGTACGTGTGCATGGATATGCACACCTATGAGTGTATGTGTATATAACACACACATACACACACACTAATAGCAATATATTTGGCTCATGGTTCTGGTAGCTAGAATGTCCAGGAGCCTGGTACTAGTGGTGAGGGTCTCCAAGTGGCATCACAGTATGGCACAAGACATCACAAGACAAGACAGATCAAGGTGCTAAATCAGGTCTGTTCTTACAACACCACTGATACCATCATGGGAGCCCCATCCTCATGAGCTCATCTAATCCCATCGCCTCCCAAAGACCCCAGCTCTAAATACCACCACCAGAAAACGAGGAATTGAGTTTGTAACACATGATCTTCTGGGGGACACCTTGGCTCATCATGGCTGCTAGGGGATGGGATCTAGGCTCCTCCGGTCTAGAGCCAAGCTGTGGAAGGCATGGCCTTGATTTACCCACTATCCCTGGTCATCCAAAGATGTGGACGAGTGTGCAGATGGGTCTCAGGATTGCCACACCCGAGGCATGCTGTGCAAGAACCTCATCGGCACCTACGTCTGCATCTGCCCGACTGGTATGCAGCCCCTGCCCTCTGGGAAGGAATGCACAGGTATGTGGTGCTTCCAGGGCACAGGGAAGGCTACGTGGAGGGGAGAGTTCAAAGCAAAGGGGGACCTTTTAAGACCAAGGGCAACTGGCTTGGGAGCTTTGGCCTCCCCCTCTGGCCTGCTTCATCCCTCCCATCTCAGATGAGGACGAATGCCAGGCCCGGTCCAGCCTGTGTGCCCATGGCCGCTGCATCAACACAGTGGGAAGCTTCCAGTGTAATTGTGATGAGGGTTTCCATCCCAGCCCTGCCCTCACCGAGTGCCATGGTGAGTGTAACCTGGGACAAGTAAGGTGGATGGAGACTTGGGAGGTCTGAGGTGGGGATGAGCTCAGGAACACTGAGGAGGCATGAAGGGAATCGCTGTACCATTATCAATATCGATGCGTGAACCTGCACACACTCTGTAGAAGAGTGTCCTCCTCCTCCTCCTCCTCCTCCTCTTTCCCATCCACCGCCATGACTCCTCTAGCCCTAGAGGAGTCACCCCAGAAGGATCTCGCCTTGGGTCTCCCACAACAACCTAAGCCCTGAACCCAGAATGTGACCTTAAGAGCATCTTCTGTGTCAGGCACCTGCTCACTCCTGCTCACATCCTCTTCTCTCCTCCCCACGGATAATGTCCATCCCTTAGCTTCAGGCCAGATGTGATGCATCTCCTAGATGCCCCATTCCCAACCCCCAATACTAGCTTACCCCAAAGCCAACTCAGCATCTTTGTTCCCAAGCCCCATCTCAGCGGTTGGGATACCCTGAACTGGCTTTCCAGAGTGACCACCAGAGACTTCCAGTCTGTGTTTAGCCCATGCTTCCCACCTATCTCTGATCTTATTTTTCATTCTATTTAATTACACTTTGTTAGTATTGAGGGTGTGGGGACCATCACACACAAGTGTGCCATGCATGGTACTTGCGTGGAGGCTGGCTCTTTCTTTCTACCTTGTGTGTCCTAGGGATCCAACTCAGGTCATCAGGGTTGGCAGTGAGTACATCATCTGCCCTGATATTTTTCTCCTCTGTCCCCAGCATCAACTCTTCCTGCCCTGTTCCCCTGCCTCCCTGATGCCTCTTAATCATCCCTTTTCACTGTGGTCAAGGACACTGTCCTTCACAGAGGCCACCCAGCCTTCATAAGATATCCCAGAGCTAACACTGACATTTGGGTGTATTGGCCCCAGTCCATTGAGGCAAATGGGTGTTACCTCATTTGAGGGTGCCTTACAGTGTCCAATGCCAATAGGAAGATGCCCCTACACGCACAGGCCTGGCTGCCAGGCACCGCAGAGAAGGAGGTCCTGAGCAAAGCGGCTTTTCTGCCCACCCCTCCTACCAATTCTCTGCAGATATCCGGCGGGGCCTCTGCTTCTCTGAGGTGCTACAGGCCGTGTGCCAGAATCGGTCAAGCAGTGGTGAGGCTGTGCCCAAAGTCATGTGCTGCTGTGGGGGCGGCCGAGGCTGGGGCCCCCACTGTGAGCTCTGTCCCTTGCCTGGCACCTCCGCCTACAGGGAGCTCTGCCCCCATGGCAAGGGCTATAGCACCGAGGGCCAAGGTAAGTGTCCTTGAGGTCATGTTAAAGTTATGTGGCTGTGCTACAATGGTGTGACTACTCCCTGTGTGTGTGTGTCTGTGTCTGTGTCTGTCTGTGTATATGTGCTTAATGTGTGTATGTGTATTTGTGTATGAGTATGTATATATGTGTGTGTAATGTGTGTATATACGTGTGTGTGTGTGTGTGTGTGTGTGTGTGTGCACTCAGTGGAATGAGGTTCTATCAGCATGTCCTGCTGGCTCAGGACTGACCCATAACCTGAGGGTGGCATCCATGTGGTCAGAATAAAGGAAAAAAAGACTGACCTTGCCTGGGGGGGATTGTGGGTAGAAAAGATGCGCTTTTAGGAGAACAAGACAGCCAGTCAACGTCTGCCCTGCCCTGCCCTGCTTGTCCCTAGATGTGGATGAATGCCACATGTTTGCTGACCTGTGCCACCATGGCGAGTGCATCAATAGCATTGGTTCCTTCCACTGTGACTGCCAAGCTGGGTATACACCAGATGCCACAGCCACTGCCTGCATGGGTGAGCCAAGCCCTACCCCTACCCTGTACATTTGCTCTAGCTATACTTCTGCAAAAAGCCTGTAGCCCCCATTTCCATGGGGACCACCCACTTGTATATCTTGGGTTTCATGCACAAGATTATCATACATCTAAGGAACCTAAAAAACAGACCAGAAGCAGAGATTCTTTGGCTTTTCTTTTTGGATCACATTTCCTGCACTTAGTTCCTCCTGTTATTTCAAACTTCCTAAGATTTTTTTTCAGTTACACTATATACCAGGCATCCCTCCAAATCATTGGTTACAAACTCCAATCTGAGGGCCAAGTTGTAAGTAAACTCTTACTGGCACACAGTCATGACTGTGTGTTTATTTACCTTCAGTGACTACTCTCCTGATGGGACGATTGTGTTATCTAATTGTGATTACAACAGTGCAACCAACCATATTAGTTTGCTTTTCTGTTGCTGTAACAAAACACCATGACCACATCAACTTACAAAAGAGAGTGTTTATTTAGGCTTACACTTCAGAGGAATGAGAGTCTGTCATGACCGGGAGGCATGGCAGTAAGCAGCAGGCATGGTGGCAGGTGCCAGAGGCTGAAAGGTCACATCTTGAACCACAAGCACAAAGCAGAGAGGGAAAACCAGAAATTGCAGGAGTCCTTAAATTCTCAGAGCTCACCACTAGTGACATAATTTCTTCATTAAAGTTTCACCTCCTAAGTCTCCCCAAGCAGTACCACTGAGGACCAAGTGTCCAAACACATGATGCTTTGGGGGGTATTCTCATTCAATCCACCACACCTGTAAAGGTAAACGTCCATTCATCCCTCGGAGCCAAAGGGGATTTTCCCAATATTCATTGCCCTATCAGATCCCAAACTGGGGGCTCCTTAAGCCTGTCCTATAAAATAGTGTCTTTGGAGAATGCAGAAATGGCTCAGTGGTTAAGAGAACTTACAGAGGACCTGAGTTCAGTTTCCAGAACACACACTAGGTGGCTTCCCCAACTAAACTTTAATTCTAGGGAGCCCAATGCTCTTTTCTGGCCTCCAGGCTCCTGCATTCATATGGTAAACATACAAAACACTCAGGCACATACACACACACACACACACACACACACACACACACACACACACACAAAATAAAATAACAAATGTTAATGGTGCAGTATTTGCCTATAACCTACACACATCTTCATGTGTATTCATTTACTTTCATTTTTGCTTTTTGTAATGGTAAGAATGGAACCCAGAGCCCCCACATTCTAGGCAGGGACTCTACCACTGAGCCACTCCCCCAACCCCTCACCCAATTCTTGGCAGGAGCCCCACCCCTAAGCCATGCTTCCAGCCTCTCAGTGGTAGCTTCTAGAAAGACACTCTACTGCTCAGCCATACCCACAACTCCTTTTAAAAGTATTTTTATTATTTAAATTTGTTCTCGGAAATTTTCAGATGTTTATTGTATAACTATTATCTACCATTATATATATATATATATATATATATATATATATATTATACATGCCTATTATACTCTCCCAGCCTCTTATCTCCTTTCCACTGGGAGGCTGAGGCAGGAAGCTTGCAGTGAGCTAAAGGCTAGCTTTAGCTACTTTGTGAGTCCTAGACCAGCCTCTGCTACATATTGAAACCCTGTTTCTAAAATAAAATAGGGACTGGAGGGATAGCTTAGCAGTTAAGAGCACCAGCTACTCTTGTAGAGTTTGGTTCCCAGCACCCATATGTCAGCTCACCACTGTCTGTAACTCCAGTCCAAGGAGATCCAATATTCTTTTCTGACCTGGCACACATATATGCAGGCAAAACAGCCATACAAACACACAAAAAATTTCATTTTAAATAAAATAAAATTATCATTTCTGTGTGATTTCTCATTCCTATTACAAAGTAACTTAGACTCTAGTGCACTGTGTCAGTTCAGCATTGATGTATTAGTCTGATACACTGTAACAGTTGTGACTGTATACTATTTGGGAAACTTAAAAAAAATAGTCTGAATGTTCAGTACAGACACTTTTCCCCAAGAAAACATTTTCCATTGTTGAGCCCACATGTACCCTATTTACCATTTGACTTTTTATTGAAAAAGTGTGGGTGGGGTGTGGCGCTCTTTCCTGTCATGTCCAAGCATAAAGACCTGGGCTTGATTCCCAACACTGCATAAAAATAGAAAACAGAGCCACTGAGATGCCTTAGCGCATAAGGATGCTTGCTGCCAAACCTGCCGACCTGAGTTCAAAACCTGGGACCAGCTGACAGAGGTGAGAGTCAACTCCTACAAGTTGTCCTCTGACCTCCACATGCACACTTGTCAAATATGTGTGCCCCCCTCATACACACACACAGTAAGTAGATGTCATTAAATTTGGGGGTGGGATGGGTAAAAATGAGAAAAGAAAATTTAGGGACAGGCATGGTGTCCCACACCTTTAATCCCAGCACTAAGGAGGCAGAGGCAGGTGGATCTCTCACTGAGATACCCAGTGAGACTTTGTCTCATGAAAATAAACAAGTAAACTTTCTTAAGTTTAATAGCAAAGTTAAGTAACTTAGGCAGTTCCACAATTTCAGATAATCAGAATCTGAGCAGGGGCCCTAGTCTGTGAGGCCCCATCAAGCCCTGGGCATGTCTATGTGATCTCCTCATGCCCCGCCATCCCACCTAGATGTGGACGAGTGCAGCCAGGACCCCAAGCCATGTTCCTTCCTCTGCAAAAACACAGAGGGCACCTTTCTGTGCGCCTGCCCCCGGGGCTACCTGCTGGAGGAAGATCTCAGAACCTGCAAAGGTGATGTCCTTCCCTCCCCCAATCTTCTCCGTCCAATGTTGCTCTCCAGACACTCTCAGCTGCACAGAATTGACCCCACCACAGCCAAGGCAAGAACACCCTAATTGGAGTGGCAAGAGTGACCCCAGACCCCACACCTGAGCCCCCTTAAGTTCCACTCATGATTGGTTCCTGAGCCATCACCTCTCAAATCTACTCCCTGGGCAACCAAATGCTTCCACCTATCCCTCATTCTATACATTACCTGAGTTCCTCTCTGAAACCCCTCTGAGCCCTGCCTCCTAGCCAGTCTCCTATTGCCCCATCTTTAACACCCTCCTCAAGCTAGCCCTTGAATCCTATACCCTCAAGCCCAGCCTCTGAAACTTCCTCTCAAACCACCCTCTAAACCCACCCCATGTCCACACACCCTCAAGCCTGTCTCCTCAGCGCCCTCCCCATGCTCCTCAGAGTGCTGCCCCCTTAGCCTTCAAGTCCTCTGGCTGAGCTCCACCCTTGAGCACCCCTTGAACCCTGTCCTCTGATCCTTTGGAACTCCCTGTGTTGCAGACCTGGACGAGTGCACCTCCAGGCAGCACAACTGCCAGTTCCTCTGTGTCAACACCATAGGCGCCTTCGCCTGCCGCTGTCCTCCTGGCTTCACCCAGCACCACCAGGCTTGCTTGGGTGAGTAGCGTCATCCAGTTCCCACCCCACTCCCCACACAACCCTGACAACCCTAGCCGTCACGTGTGTGTGGTACAAAGGCAAATCAAGCACTACTCATGTGTCAGGCATGGAGGGCGTGGGGATGATTAGAACACAGTCCCTGGATACAGGCATCTTGGGGGCATCTAGAGCCTTCTTCATTACCCTAGGGAGATTACCCTAAGAAATCCCTCTGGCCTGGGCCCAGAACTTTCCCCCCTTGCCTGTGATCCATCCCTGCTGGGTCTCTCCTATTGAGCTTGCCCAGAGTGTTCCCCAAACTCTAGGAGTTTACACAACCACTCTGGAGAAAGCAGTTCAGAAGCCAAAACCATAAAGCTGTCTGTCATAGCCTCTTAGTGTCTTGTGGGCCTGAGGGAACTAGAACTCCTTCTAGCCAGCCCAGCTAAGGAGAATACTCAGTCCCCTCCCACAGCCCTCTTAGCTAGCACCACCTATGGTAATGATGTTTCTAGTCTATTAGGTTGATGAGCAAATGGGCTTGGAACTGATGGGCTAGTCTGTAAAAAGTGCTTCCTGCTCAAGCTCTGAGGAGTAGAGTTCAGATTCCTGTCACCCACAATAAAAGCCAGGCACTTGTCAGGAGGCAGAGAAAGTAGGATCCCAGGGTCAGCCAGTCCAACCAAATCAGCAAGCTCCAAGCTCGCAACAGAAAGGTGGAGTCACTGAGGAAGACACCTGATACCAACCTCTGGCCTTCACATGCACACAGAAGCAGACACACACACACACACACACACACACACACACACACACAAATTGTTTTAATAATGCATTGGGGCTAGGTAAAGAGTTTGCTATGCAAGCATGGGAACTGGAATTCTGATGCCCAAAATCCACATAAATGCCAGGAAGCATGATGGCTGCCTGTTACTCCAACCTAGGAAGGCAAAGACATGAAATCCTCAGAGCAAGCTGGCTAGGAAGACTAACCACATCAGGGAGCTCTGGTTTGATTGAGTAGCCCTGCCTGCTTCAGTGTACAAGATGAAGAGCAAGCTGGCTAGGAAGGCTAACCACATCAAGGAGCTCTGGTTTGATTGAGTGACCCTGCCTGCTTCGATGTTTAAGGTGAAAGGGAGACTGAAGATGACTGCTGTTGTCAGCTATGAGCTTCCATGAGCACCTGCATACACATATGTACACGTGAGCACACACACATACACACACACACACACGAAAACACACATGTGTGCACCCATAACACACACAAGTGGAAAAATAAAAATTCAAAACAGACACTAGAGATTTACTGTTGCAAAGTTTTAGAGAGTAGAAGCCCAAGACCCAGGGGATGGTTCCTGGTGAGAGCTCCATCCCCAACTTGTAGCCAGTCACCTTCTTGCAGCCTCACATGGCCAAGGTTTAGGGTATTCAGACAGACAGACACTGTCTGCTGGTGTCTCTTTTTTTCCACTTTCTTTTTAACATTTATTTTTAACATTTTTTAAAATTTCTTTTTAACATTTATGTTGTGTGCAGAGGTGTGTGTGTGTGTGTGTGTGTGTGTGTGTGTGTGTGTGTGTTTTCACGGCATGTGTGGAGGTCAAAGGACAACCTTTAGGCATCGGTTCTCTCCTTCCACTATGGGGTCCAGGAGATGGAACTCAGTTACTCAGGCTTGGCAGCAAGTACCTTCACCAACTTGGTCATCTCGCCTATGCCATCCCCAATTTTTTTTTTTTTAGGATAACGGTGTCTTGCAAACCTGTAGTTCACCAAAGAGGCCATGCTGGCTCTGCTACCACCCTTGGCCAACTTTTTCTTCTCTTTTCTTATAGTATTTTACTCACTGAGCAGTCTTTCCTGACATACACCACACACACACACACACACACACACACACACACACCTTGCAGGGTTTTGTTTTGTTTTGTTTGAGATTTTACTTTTGTTTTTGTTTGTTTGTTTTATGGTTTTTTGTTGTTTGTTGTCGTTGGGTTTTTGTTTGTTTGTTTGTTGTCTGAGAAAGAAAAAAAGGTTTTCGCTGCTTGGCCCTGGTCCTGGCTGTCCTGGAACTCACTCTATAGACCAGGCTGGCCTCGAATTCACAAAGATCTGCCTCTGCCTCCTGAGTGCTGGCATTAAAGACATGTGTCACAACTGCCTGGCCTGAGATTTTTACTTATTTTTATTTTATGAGTATGGATATTTTGCCTATACATATGTATGTGTGTCACATACATGCAGTGCTTGCAGGAACCACAGGCAGGAAATCCCCTGGGTCTAGAGTTATAGACTATTGTTATCCACCATGTGGGTTTGGGAAATGGAACCAGGATCTTCTAGGAAAGCAGCCAAAATGACTCTTAAGCACTGAACCCTTTCTCCAGCTCCACCCCCTCTTTGAGAAGAGTCTCTGGAGCTCATTGATTAGGATGAACTGGCTGTCTAGCCCTCAGGGATGACCAGCCTCAGTGGGTGATGACAAATACCAAGTCTGGTTCTGAAGCCTGAACTCGGGTCCTCATGCTTACACAAGAAACACTTAACTGACTGAGCTAGCTGCCCAGCCCCTTGTTTTACTTCATGTTTTGAGACAGGGGTCTCATTAAACTGACCTCACTGACCCTGAACTTGCAATTCTCCTGCCTCAGGCCCCTAAATAGCTGAGATTACGGGCCTGTGTCAACACATCTGACCGCATATGGGCTTGTTAACTCTTTAAAAATGGCATTCGGACATCAGGAGGATGTGCTGCCACTGAGCCTCAACCTAGTTTTAGTAATGTCTGACTCTCATAGCGGGAACCGTCCTACATTCTCACGTGGTTAAAGCCACTGAATTCTCATGTTACAAAGCAAAGACAAGGAATTACTTCTCTGTGACAACTGAGGAGCCTGGAGGAGTCAGTAACCCCAGGTTGCATAGCTTTGAATTTCAAGCAAAGCACTTTCCCTGCAGGACCACGAACACTGGCTGCCCTTCTGTCAGCCAGAACCTATTTGTACCTCATTTCACAGAGGAAGAGACCAGCACAGAGAGGGGGAGTGACTCCTCTTAAGCCACACGGTGTAGTGCTGTCCCCTAACCACAAAGCAACCCTGCCCACTCTCTGTCTTCTATAGATAACGATGAGTGCTTGGCCCGACCTGGTCTCTGTGGCACCCGTGGACACTGCCAAAACACCCCAGGCAGCTTCCGCTGTGAGTGTAACAGAGGCTATACCCTGGACAGCTCTGGCCACAGCTGTGAAGGTGAAGTGGAGCTTGAGTGGGTCCCCAGTCTGGGGGATGACCCCAAGAACCACCCATCAATCTTCTCTCCCTTTTGAGTGGGTCCCCAGCCTGGGGGATGACCCCAAGAACCACCCATCAATCTTCTCTCCCTTTTGAGTGGGTCCCCAGTCTGGGGGATGACCCCAAGAACCACCCATCAATCTTCTCTCCCTTTTGAGTGGGTCCCCAGTCTGGGGGATGACCCCAAGAACCACCCATCAATCTTCTCTCCCTTTTGAGTGGGTCCCCAGCCTGGGGGATGACCCCAAGAACCACCCATCAATCTTCTCTCCCTTTTTCTTTCTCTCTGTCTCAGATGTAAATGAATGTGACAGTCCCCATCACTGCCAGTTCGGCTGTCAAAATGAGCCAGGGGGCTACCGCCCAGGCTTCACCCAGCATTCCCAGTGGGCCCAGTGTGTGGGTGGGTGACAAGGGCTGGGAGGAAGCCAAGCACCCACCAGAATCTTTCCAGAGCAGACAAGTAGGAACCATTTCACCTGCAGGTGTTGTGACAAACTGACCCATCTATAAATCAAATGGGCCAGCCCAAAAGGTTGGACCACTGGGACGTCACTGGACTGCTGAACAAACATGGCACAGTGTTCAAACCCATTTGTTACAGAGCGGTGGCCTGACTACCCAGGAAAAGTGCAGCATCAAAAGACTGGGGTTGATTAACAATGTCTACCAAGTGTGCAACAGAAAGAATGTGATTGATTAGCAATGTCTGCCACAGGCAGAGCGGAAAGATTTGGCAATGCCTGCGGTAGATGTAAAAGGATAGTGTCATGTCTGCCATGAGTATTGCAGTGCCCCTCAAGACACATATGCTGTCATCTTTGCATCTTTGCCATAGCAATTTCAGAGGCTCTCGAGTCAGAGAGTTTGCCTTCTGTACCTCAACTTTCCCCGTGCTTTGCTGCCCCAGGAATTCCTTTCAACCGCCTCGTCTCTGTCACTTTCAACATTGCTCCCAAAGTCTTTTTTTCCTTTTATTTTTGAGATTATAATGTAATTACATTTTTTCTCTCCTCCCTTTCCTTCCTCCAAACCTTCCCATATACCCCCTCCTTTCACTCTCTTCCAAATCCATGGCCTCTTTTTCTCACTAATTGTGTTCCAGGCATATATGTATATGTAGCTTTTAGCCTCTGCCTTTGAGGAGTCCGCTTGCTCTCCTGAGACCTGTGACTCCTCAGCTCTCACAGGCTTTGCAGCAGAGCCTGGGAGTTGTGAGGGAGGATAATAGACAGAGGGCAGAGGAGGGCAGACAGTCTGGGGGCTTCTGACGAGCTTACTGGGGACTTCGCACAGTAAAGTGTACTGTGCTTGGTTACTGTTGTTTGTGGTGAATACAGAAAGTAGGGGATGAGGTGCTCCTGGTATCATAGGCAGAGTCTAAGGGTGCTGCTCAGTATCCAGCAGTGCTCGATCCTACCACAGAATGACCTGGCCCCACGTGAGAAAGCCTGTTCTAGAATAACCTACCACTTAGGATTCGGGGGAAATATTGAAAAATCCCGTAGGGGCCCAGAGTATAATAATCAGTGGCTGAAGGAAGGTGGTTATAGTTTGAGAACTCCTAATGAGTTTGCTGGAAGCTTTGCATAGTAAAGAGTACTGTGATTGATTAGCAATGTCTGCTGTGGGTGCAGACTTGAGGGGTGTGTATTCATGTGAAAGGCTCCGGACATGCAAGGTTTCTTCCATTCTGTCTCTACTTTTCTTTCTGCCTACAGATGAGAATGAGTGTGCCTGGTCACCCATGCCTTGTGGTAGTGCCTCTTGCTACAATACGCTTGGCAGTTTCCGCTGTGTCTGCCCCTCTGGTTTCAGTTTCAACCAGGACCTTGGAGGTTGCCAGGATGTGGATGAGTGTGCAGAGCAAGGCAGCCCCTGCAGCTATGGCTGCGTCAACACACCTGGTGGCTTCTTGTGTGGTTGTCCCCAAGGCTACTTCCGGGCTGGACAAGGGTAAGAGGCTCAGGTGGGATGGGCAAGAGTGTAGTGGGCACGTTCTTCATGCCCTGATCATGAACATTTGGCTCATATACACACAGAACCCATTAGCAAAGTTCCATCGGACTGTGTATGTAGGTGCCTACATGCATACACAGAGAATTGGTCACAGATAGTATCTGTGCACACCTCTGGCCCATGACTATCCAATACCTGTCCAGCAAGCCTGAGTACAGCCAGTCATTCATAAATGCCAATATACATGAGTACACGTCTGTGCCATTATTCCATTTTTCATTCAGACTTGTATGTGCCCACTACCTGGAGATATTTATGGTCCATTCATGATCCAAGTTAGCACACATGAAGAAACATATATGAACCCTCACACACAGAAATAAAGTCCTCATTTTACTTTCCATACCCCTATTATGGGACATGATTCCCAGAGACACAAATGTGTACTCATCCCAGATATGGAGCCAACAACAGATTAGAGTAATGATGCAATTAAATTCCGACTTGGTGAACCACTGAGTTTACTACTAAACAATGGGTTACTTGGAGGACTGTGGGTGAGAAGTTACCCACAGAAACGTAGATGACCCAAAGGCAGATACATCAATGAAAGCCCTTGGGCTAGAGGGATGGCTCAGCAATTAAATGTACTGACTGCTGTCTTCCAGAGGTCCTGAGTTTAATTACCAGCCTCCATTAACCAATGGGTTACTTGGAGGACTGTGGGTGAGAAGTTACCCACAGAAACGTAGATGACCCAAAGGCAGATACATCAATGAAAGCCCTTGGGCTAGAGGGATGGCTCAGCAATTAAATGTACTGACTGCTGTCTTCCAGAGGTCCTGAGTTTAATTACCAGCCTCCACTAACCAATGGGTTACTTGGAGGACTGTGGGTGAGAAGTTACCCACAGAAACGTAGATGACCCAAAGGCAGATACATCAATGAAAGCCCTTGGGCTAGAGGGATGGCTCAGCAATTAAATGCACTGACTGCTGTCTTCCAGAGGTCCTGGGTTTAATTCCCAGCCTCCACATGATGGCTTACAACCATCTGCCAGTGTAGTACCACAGGATCCAATTCCCTCTTCTGGTGTTCAGACATACATACATATAGACAAAACACCCATATATGCATAATATGCAAATAAGTAAATATTAAAAGAAAGAAAGCAGGCCCATCCAACATGGGTAATGACTGAGGGAATCTGGAATCTTGGAGCTCAGTCCAAGATTCGCAGGCACCTTAGCAGGAAGGAGAGTCTCCTCAGCCTCCCTTGCTGCTTACATAACCGTGATGGGAGTGGGGGTCTTGTGCTTCTAGTTTTATGGAGCTCCTGAAACTTATGAGTTGCTTATTTCCTGTGTCTTATGGAACCTTCCTCAAGGACAGAATGCTTCATCAACACCAGAAAATTGCTATACAATAACCCCACCTCCATCTCACGTTTACCCAAATGCAAGGCTGTTCTAGTCCCTTATATAAAATGACATGCTGTTTGCACAGAACCTGCATACACTCCTCCATTTAATCTAAATAATCACAAGCTCGGGATTCACTTGGTGGGTAGAATGCTTACCTAGGGTGTGCAAAGTCCTGGGTTTGATCCTCAGATTGTGTACACCAGTCACAGTGGCACATGCCTGTAATCCCGGTGTTTGGAAGACGCAAGCAAGAGGACCAGGAACTTAAGGTATAGCAAGTTTGAGGTTAGCCTGGGTTACATGAGACCCTATCTTGAAAATAAATAATTATCTCCACATAATTTATAACACTTAATACAAAATAAAACAGTATTGTGACTGTTGCACTGTTTTATTAAGGGAATATTAACAAAGAAAAAAGTCTCTGAATGTTCAATAGGAAGTTAACTAAGACAGGCCTAACTTATGTAAAGGATCACAACACTATAACCGTCTTCAGTCCTTTGATAACCAGTTGAATATGACAGTGCAGAACCTGTGGATACAGAGGGCTGACTGTGCTTGTGCACATGGCGGTCCTTACTGTATTCACATTGCAAGCACACTCATCCCAGTGGACACAGGTATATGTGCACACCGTCTTCCATATATACACACAGCCCCCCCCAAGTATACATGTTTCTGGATATACACAGATACATCTGTCTATTCCATTGCATGTACATCATCCCATTCTTGTGTTCATACCAATACCCGGGTAAGCCAAGGGACACACACATCCCTCCACACAGCCATGCCAGCACACGCACATGCACACACACACACACACATGCACACGCACACATGCACACGCACATTTGCATGGTGGTGTCTCTGCCCGTGGCTCAGAATGGGGTGTGATGGGAGATGGTGGGGGAGATGCTACCAGCCTGCTTCTGAAAGTTTCCCACATACCATCTGGCTCAGACACTGCATTTCCAGCCCTGGCATCAGCTCTGGATCTCAGGCCGCCGCAGATGAAGAAGAATCGCTCTCACCTGAAGCCTGCTATGAATGCAAGATCAATGGCCTCTCACCTCAGGACCGACCGAAACGCAGCACCAATGGAGGCCCTCAGGTGCCATGGGGACCACACTGGGTGGGCCAACTAGGGTGCTCTCTGAGGGTGTCTGAAGGAGGCTGTGGTCCCTCAAGAATGAACACTAGGTCTAAGAATGTAGCTTAACTGGTAAATTACTTGCCTAGCATGCATGAGGTTCAGGGTTCAAGCCTCAGCACTGCATAAAACTAGACATCCTCAGCTCTTTAGTACATTTGATATTAGCCTAGGTTACATGAGACTCTGCCTCATAAAAGGGAAGAGAAAAACAGGCAACCATTAGACTACATGTCTCAGCTCCTCCCTCATATCATGGTGTCCAGGGCTTTTCTGGGAACACATCCTTAGGCACCTTACCTCATTCCTGTGACAGTTAAGGCTCCTTCTAGACAGATCCTAAGCAATCTGTAATAAGCAAACAGGGGGGAGGAAAAAAAAGCCCTGCCCTCATGATACTCTGATGGGGGAAAAATAAGTATTAGGCAAAATGTAGCTTGATTATAACATGAAAAAAATGATCCATGTAGCAAAGAGAAATAAAGCCAGAGTGGGGTGGGCATGTTAGGTCAACATGTAGCTAACTAATATGAATGGATATGGATTAGTTTATCTTCTGTTTTCTTCAGTTGGTTTTTCCTTTGTTTAAGAAAAAAAGTTTCCATGTAGAAATTATCCCAGATTTACTATTTGTGGCTGTATTGCTGGTCCTTGGTTTTCTTTATTCTTATTTAAAATGTTTTTCATTTTACATACCAACTCCAGTTCCCCCGCCCTCTCCTTCTCCCACCCACCCACCTCCCTGCTTCCCACCCGTGGCCCTTGGTTCCCAAGATGATTGGAATTGTTGCCAAGGGTCCAGGGCTGGACACAGCATGCTGGGAGGGAGGGAGGGATTGCAATGAATTTGCCTGTAATACCACTGTTTGCCAGGAGGTGTCAATAAGAGCATATGTCTGAGCCTTTCTCCTCAGAAAAGAAAGATTTCCCAGAACCAGGGGCAGAGGGGCTGAAATAGCTTTCTCTCAAAAGCAACAGCAGATCACTCCACAGGCATGTAAATGAGGTGAAACAGACATGGCATAACCCGTGGGGGGGGGGGGGCAGTAAATACAGATAACCCTTTGTGGAACCAGATTCATCACCCAGCCTGGGGTGGCCTGCCAATTGGCTTTTGAGGGTACTGTCCTGCTGCCAGGACCATGAAGGCACTTCAGAAGAGCTCAAATAAAGAAGAGCCTGTCATCAGTACACAGGGTCCACTCAGAGAGAGCCAGATACAGGAAGTATAGTGGAAGCCAGCGGAAGGCTCTTCTGAGGCCTCTCCTTGTGCTTTCTGTCCTAGCTGGGTATTCTGCTTGTATCTCCGTAGATTCTAGCATCATTTTGGAGATGTAGTTTTTGTTTGTTTGTTTGTTTTGTTTTTCCAAGAAGGCCCTTGGTTATAACACCAGTCACCTGGGCTGCCTCTGAACCACCTTAAGGCTCCTGAGCCAAATGTTACCTGCCTGACCTGTTTGCTGGGCTTTCAAAGCAAATCTTTGATTCCCTACCTGTTGCCTTTTTGCTTTGTTTTTGGTGTGTGTGTATCTGTAGGTGTCTGTGTGTGCATGTGTGTCTATACATCTCTCTCTCACACACACACACACACACACACACGCACACACACACACACACACAGAGAGAGAGAGAGAGAGAGAGAGAGAGAGAGAGAGAGAGAGAGAGAGAGAGAGGAGATGCATACACATGCTCTAGTAAAGTACAACTGGACACAAGACGTTAACACCATTGTCTTACAATTCTTCTCCACTTTTTTAATTCTATTATATGTATTTGGAGGTGGTAGTGATTGCATGTGTGTGCATTCATGCACAAGACATGGGTGCGGAAATCAGTGACGACTGACAGGAGCTAATTCTCTCTCCTTCTCCACGTGGTTCTAGGGAATCAAACTTAGGTCCTCGGGTTTGGTGGCAAACGCCTGTACCTGCTGAGCCATCTGTGGACCCAGCTCCACTTATTATTTGAGACAGGATCTCTCACTAACCCTGGAGCTCACCGTTTGACTATACCATTGGCCAGCAAGCTCCTGGGATCCTCCTCCCGCTGCCTTCAAGTGGGAGTGTAGGCATGTGCCACCACACCTAGCTTTCTGTGTGGGTGCTGGGGATCCGAATTAGATCCCCATGCCTGCACAGCAGACACTTTACTAACTGAGCCGGCTCCTTAGTCTCTCTCCTCTTGGGTTTTTTGTTTTGTTTTATTTTGCTTTGTTTTGTTTTTCCGTCAAAGAACCAGATTTAGCCTTTGCTGTTACGTCCTCAGCCTTAGCTGAGCTCAGCCTTGTATGCAGACGGCTAGACAAAGAAACCAGACTTGCATCCTTATTTACACAGTCTCTGACAGTTCATTTGGTCCCTACCCTCAGGTGAGCCTGGCTACCCTTGACCCGGAAGTCCCCTTGACCTTGAGTCTGTACATCTCACACCTGAGCCAAGTCAAGCATATCTTAGAATTTCGACCAGCTCTTGGGAGTCTGGAAGGCCAGATCCGTTACATTATTGCCAGAGGCAACAACCAAGGCTTCTTCCGCTTGAGTCACCTGGATGGCTTCAGCTCCCTGCAGCTGGGAAGTGGGAGACCAAGACCCGGCAAATATCAGCTGGAGGTGGTGAGTATAGCAGGAGCTCAGGGCCAGCTAGAGCCAGCAACCCCAGCCTTGCGGCTAACAGTCCGATTACAACTGCTCTAGCAGAAAGAAGCTTCAATGTGCCTAGAGTTCCCATGGCATCTGAAGTGGAGATTCTGGAACTGGCTAGAATTGATTTTGGGGGCAATGGCTGACCAAGTTGAACCTCAAAACACTATGACCTCAGATGAACCCAACCTATGCAAGCCTGGGGGGGGGGTCCCAACACCTCAGCCTCTCCTGGACTCGGCTAGAAGTCTCAGCATTCATCCGTCCACCCACAGCCAGGGTCAGCAGGAGGGACCCCTGGTGTTCACTGCTCCTTGTCATCCTCAAGCTTAAACTTCAGGCTGCACTATGACTCGCCAAGAGTGTTGGTGGGACATCGGAATAGTGTCTCGGGTGGGTGTGGGTATCATCCCTCAGAGAATGAGAATGGGAAGCCTTATCTCCTACATCTTGACAAGCAGATTCATTCCCGAGAGCCTGGGCTAGGTTCTGAAGACACTTTTCTATTGAAACTGAAGACACAATAAAGTCCTCTGGGGATTAAATCTGCCTGTGTGTTCTCAAATAAATAGATGCTATCTCCTCCAACAAAAGCCACACACACACACACACACACACACACAATACGAAACAACACAACCCACCTACCCACCACTGCCCCCCAAAAACACAACAAAAACAAAACTATAGTTAAAGAAGAGCTTGAACACGTGATCCTCCTGCCTCCACCTCCTCAGTGCTGGATGGTGGTCGAGCAATGCTACCACACACAGTTTTTGCAAGTACAAGATGAAAACCAAGACTTCATCAAAAACACAACTCGACTAAATGAGCCATGTCCCTGGTCCCTAGAAGTAACTTTTGTTCTAACATGTGGTCTTTGGCCCCAAATCCTGACACAGAGCTCCAAAGACCTCTGGATTTCCTGTGCGTCACTGAATTTCCTGAGTGTTTCTAAGGCTGGTCACAAGGAAAAGTGAGCCATTGATTAGACGTCTGCTCCACTCTTCAAGCTCCAAACAGGGGAGAGGGACTGAACTTCAAGTTAATAATCAAGCAGGTGTGTGGAAACACCTCCATAAAAATATTGAACTGTGAGGGCAAAGAGTTTCCAGATTGACAAGCACATTAGTGTGCCAGGAAGGTGGTGCATCCCTGTGTGTGACACTTTCCCTGGGAAGACGTGAGCAAACATCTTCTCACCCCAGATAGAGAGCTGCTATCAAGTAACAGTGCCACCAAAGTCCAACTTAACAAACCAATGGGCTTTCTGGCCTTACTTGCAGCAGCATGAGTGAGAGCTCACTTACTTAAGCGGCATGAGTGAGGGCTCACTTGAGCAGCATGAGTGAGAGCTCACTTGAGCAGCATGAGTGAGGGCTCACTTGAGCAGCATGAGTGAGAGCTCACTTGAGCAGCATGAGTGAGGGCTCACTTGAGCAGCATGAGTGAGAGCTCACTTGAGCAGCATGAGTGAGGGCTCACTTGAGCAGCATGAGTGAGGGCTCACTTGCGGCAGCATGAGTGAGGGCTCACTTGCGGCAGCATGAGTGAGGGCTCACTTGCGGCAGCATGAGTGAGGGCTCACTTGCGGCAGCATGAATGAGAGCTTACTTAAGCGGCATGAGTGAGGGCTCACTTGCAGCAGCATGTTTGACTCAAAGGCAGCTGCATCACTGATTGCCCATCCTGTCCCGAGTGCCATCTCACAAAAGCTGCAATCCTGGCACTCTCTGCAAGGCCTACAAACTGGAGTCTCCTCTCCTCGGCGGTCCTCACTGCTGCTTGTATAAGCTCTTCTGGTAAGTGGGAGGGACTTCTGACACCTGGGAGCCATGACTTTCTGACTCTAAGGAGCCTCCCTCCAGGATGAATATGGAGACTACAGGACAAACTCAGGTGTCAGCCCTGACCTCACACCATGCAGGGCCTCACGCTCACTGCTGCTGACGGCCATAGCTGGTCTTCTAGGGGATCTCCTGTCTCCCCCATCTTACTGTGGGAGCTCTGAGGTTACAGACATACACTGTCACATCCAGTTTTGCTTGGTTCTGGGGATCTGAACTCAGGCCCTCACACTTACACAGCAAACTCTTTATCCCTGAGTCATCTCCTGAGTCCTGTTTTGGTTTGGTTTTTATTTGTTTGTTGTTTGTCTGTATTTTTTATAGAATTTTATTATTTATTTGTCAATATACCACTTCAGAGTTTCTTTTTTTAATATTTATTTATTATGCATACAGTGTTCTGCCTGCATATAGAAGAGGGCACCAGATCTCATTACAGATAATTGTGAGCCACCATGTGGATGCTGGGAATTGAACTCAGGACCTCTGGAAGAGCAGTCAGTGTTCTTGACCTCTGAGCCATCTCTCCAGCCCCTTTGTCTGTATTCTGGGGCAGGGCCTTGCAGTGTGTCCCAGACTAGCCTCAAACTTACAATGCAGCCCAGGCTGGCCTCAAACTTGTGATTATCCTGCCTTAGACTCTGTAGTAGTTTGAATGTAACTGGCCCTCATGAGTTCATACCAAGTGGTACTATTAGGAGGTGTGGTTTTGCTGGAGGACTTGTGTCCCTGTGGAAGTGGGCTTTGAGGTCTCATGTATTTCAAACTGCACCCAGTGATATAGTTCACTGCCTGTTGCCTTTGGGATCAAGATGTAGCTCCTCTCCTCTCAGATCCTTCTCCAGCACCATGTCTGCCTGCATGCTGCCCTGTCCTGCCATGATGATAATGGACTGAACCTCTGAACTGCAAGCCACCCCAATTAAATGTTTTTCTTTGTAAGAGTTGCTGTGGTCATGGTGTCTCTTCATAAACTCCTTCAGCAACACCAATCCTAGATCATCCGTAGCCTTTATAGCATTCTACAGAATAACCAAGAAATGTAAGAAAAGTGCTTCCCTGAGTCCTGGGAGCTGATAATCTAGCAAAAGTGGCTGAAGAAAAAGAGGCGGTCACAGGTAAACTTGACTTATAGCAGGTAACTTGGAGTACTGGCACTAACCTCCTGAGAGCACACCGCATACCAGACATCTCTGTGAGTGATTAGGTTTTTGTTGTTGTTATTTGTTGTTGTTGTTTGCTTCTCTCTATTTCCCCGGCTGTCCTGGAACTCGCTCTGTAGACCAGCCTGGCCTCGAACTCACAGAGACCCGCCTGCCTCTGCCTCCCTAGTGCTGGGATTAAAGGTGTGCACCACCACCACCAGGCTCAAGTAATTAGTTTTTAATGGGCTTTAAACGTTTTTATTTTTAACTCTTTAACCATTTCACATATGTACACATTTTGACCATTTTCACACACACTCATCCTCCTCTCGCCCCTCTCTCCTATTGGATGCCTTTTTCCTACTTCCATACCTCTGTTCTTTTGTGTGTGGCCCACTGCATTTAATTAGGGTTGCTGGCATAGACATGGGTGGTGGAGTATATACTGGAAAAAATACTCCCCTCCCCCAGCAATCAACAGCCAGTAGCTCCCCAGTGAGGGGTGGGGTCCTGTGAGCCGCTCACTCATCCATGCTGAAACATTGCTTAGTCAGGCACTGGTAACTGTAGCCTTTGTGAGTTCATGAGTTCAGTGGCCACTTCGTGCTCAGGAGATAGCACCTCAGGGGACTCCTCCCGTCTTCCAGCTGGTGCTCACTCTTGAGTAACTTAGTTGTTCATCTTTCTGGTCATCATCGCCACCCTGTGAAATAGACAGTGTTAGTATTGTCCCCCTCCTACAGATGGGAAAACTGAGACTCTGGGAGTTAGAGTTGTCAAGGGGTCAGTCTCATAGAGCTGTGCCCTGAACCTGCGGAGCCAGGTGGGACCTGCATGTCGACAATGTCAGAACCGAACTGAATTAAATCACAGCACACCCTACTGGCATCTGCTTGATTCAAGAGATCTGGCATTCAGTGTGTCAGGTTGAGGACTAGTGAGATGGTGAAGCCTGGTGACCAGAGGTTAATCCCTGGGGTCCATAGGGTGGGAAGAAAGAAGTGAAGACCCTGTTTCTTTCCCACCTGGTCCCACAACTGTTTAGTCCCAAATAAACACACAGAGGCTTTTATTAATTATAAACTGTAGACAATAGCTCAGACTTCTATTGGCTAGCTCTCTTTTAATTATTAACCCATTTCTATTAAACTATGCATTGCCACGGGACTGTGTCTTACCTGTAATGCTCCAGCATGTTACACTTTCAGTGGCTACATGGAGTCTCTCTGGCAACTCCTCTCTGCCTTCCTCTTCCAAGCATTCCTAGTCTGGTAGCCCCGCCTATACTTCCTGCCTGGCTACTGACCAATCAACATTTATTAACCAACCAATAAGAGAAGCATGTATACACAGCATACAGAAGGCCCGCCCCCATCAAATAAGCAACTCCCAATAGTTGGCTCTAACTTCCACTAGCTCGCAGTGGCATACACACATACCCAAGAGCACTCATGTGCACAGGCGCACACACACACAGTGTGTGTGTGTGTGCGCGCGCGCGCGCGTGTGTGTGTGTGTGTGTGTGTGTGTGTGTGTGTGTGTGTGTGTGTTACATTGACACCAAGCATGGTGGCATATGCCTATAACTCTAGGTATTTTAGAGGTTGAGGTAAAAGGAGCTAAAATCCAGCCTTGGCTACAGAGTGAATTCAAGGCTTCTCAAAATACAAATTATAAAAAGGCTAGGCAGCTGGGGAGATTGCTCAGCAGTTAAGAGCACCGACAGTTCTTCCAGAGGATATGGGTGCAATTCCCAGCACCCACATGGCAGCTCACAACTGTCTGTAACTCCAAGATCTGACAACCTCACACAAATGTGCATTCAGGCAGAATACCAATGAACACAAAATAAAAATAAATTATTAAAAATAAAAAGACTGGGTACCTTGGTCCTGCCTCAATGAGATGATGGGACAGACTTAGTAGATTTTCTAGAGGAGGCCTTGCCCTCTCCAAGGAGCAGATGGGAGGAGGAGGGAGTGTGGGGAGCAGGAGGAGAGGAGGGAGGGGCAACTGGGATTGAAATGTAAAACATGAATTAAGAAAAAAATTAAAAAGATGGGGGTTGCTTACTAGCCTAGTATGCACAAGGTCTTGAGTTCAAGCCCTGTAGTAGAAAGAAATAGGAGATAGGAAGGAAGGAAAGAAGGAGGGAAGGAAGGAAGGAAGGAAGGAAGGAAGGAAGGAAGGAAGGAAGGAAGGAAGGAAGAACTTTCTTATGGGGCTGAAGAGATGGCTCACCAATTAAGAGTGTCTACTGTTCTTACAAAGGACCAGCCTGGTGCTCCATATTCCAGCTCTACATAAACTAGCATGATAGTGCATGCCTGTGACCATAGTGCTTAGCTGGTGAAAACAGGAGAATCAGAAGTTTAGGAGCATCCTTGGCTACACAGGGAGTGGGAGGCCAGCCTGAGATACATGAGACCTGCTTGGGGAAAGAAAAAACATAAAACAGAAAGGAACAAAGAAGGAAAGTAGGAAGAAGAAAGAAAGGAGAGAGAGGGGGAGAAGGAGAGAGAGAGAGAGAGAGAGAGAGACAGAGAGAGAGAGAGAGAGAGAGAGAGAGAGAGAGAGAGAGAGAGAGAGAGAGAGAGAGAGAGATAACTCGATAACTCTGCAGTAAGGACATTTGCCATCAAGGCTGACAACCTGAATTCTATCAGAAACCCACATTGTGGGAAGTGAGAACTGATTCCTGCAATCTGTCCTCTGACCTCCAGCTGGAAGCATGGTTTGTGCAAACGTGTGCATGCGCGCGTACTCTCTCTCTCTCTCTCTCTCTCTCACACACACACACACACACACACAGTGACTCAATCAGTGTAAACACTTTTAAGGAAAAAGAAAGAGAGAAGGAGGGGAGGAAGGGATGAGGGGGAAGCAAATGTGAGTGGCGTGGGAAGACACTTTCTGTTTGCTTACATTGAGCAACTCTTGGCCCACTCCCCTGGTGTGTCACGTTAGCATTTACATGAACTAGGATCCTTGCACATGAATCTCAGGGTGAGACCACACAGCCTACAGCGGGCTTCCTGCTCCTGGGGGTAGACCCCAGTCAGTAAAGTGGTAGATGGAGGAAGGTCACATGACCAAGAGTCCTTACCTAGAATGGCCTAGGGTGGCATTCCTCATGCTGTGACTGCTGGGGTTCCCCACCCTGGACTTTGCATGATTTGACTTCTTTCTTTCTGTGTGAGAGCCTGTTGGAGAATGGAGAGAGAAACAGGTGAGTGTTCCAATAGGGGCCGTAGTGATGCGTCAGAGGTTAAGAAAACTAGTCGCTCATACAGAGGACTGGGGTTGAATTCCCAGCACCTACATGATGGCTCACAACCATCTAAAACTGCAGTTCCTGCAGACCCAACACCCTTTCCTTGCCTCCTGAGGCACCAGGCCTACTTTTTGTACACATATATAAAAGCCAACACTCATACACAAAATTAAAATAAATGGGTTTTATTTCTTTCTTTTGTTTTTTCAAGACAGGGTTTCTTAGTGTAGCTATGGTTGTCCCAGAACTTGCTCTGTGGACCAGACTGGCCTCTACTCGCAGAGATCCGACCACCTCTGCCTCCCGGGTGCTGGGATTAAAGGTGCACAACACCACCCTGCTTGAATTAAACCAATCTTTTTTTCTGATTTTTTTATTTACATTAGAAACAAGCTTGTTTTATATGTCAATCCCAGTTCCCTCTTCCTCCCTGAATTAAGCCAATCTTAAAATGGCAAATATTTTATGTTTTTTCTCATTTGTGGTTCCTACATTTTATATAGTCTAATAAAATCATGTCTGTGCATTAAAGTAGAAACGAAGTGAAACTCTCCAGGGAAATGAAATAAATGGGTTAAGAAAATGTTAGAAAAGGAGTACAGGGCTGGAGAGATGGCTCAGAGGTTAAGAGCACTGACGGCTTTTCCAGAGGACCTGAGTTTAATTCCCAGCAGCCACATCATCTCACAATCATCTATAATGAGATCTGGTGCCCTCTTCTGGCAAGCAGGCATACACGCAGGCAGAACATTGTATACCCAATAAATAAATAAATCTCTTTTTTTTTTTTTGTCACAACCTGCAATTCTACAACTTTATTTCACAGCTCTGTGGGGGATTCTCATTTCAAAACTTTATTAACACACAGGTGCAAAAACAGCTCCCCCACCCCGTACCAGTTAGGTCTGTGAGATCCCATTGTTTTCCTTTATGCTTTCACCCAGCCAGTGTTTTGTTTTTTCCATTGTCTTTTAATTTAAATTAAAAACAATCTTATTTTACATACCAATTCCAGTTCCCTCTCCCTCCTGTCCTCCCATACCCCCCACCAACCCTCCATCCCACCCCCAATCCACTCCCCAGGGAAGGCGAGACCTCCCATGGGAGATCATAGATCATCAAAGTCTATTACATCATTTGGGGCAGGACCTAGGCTCTAAATGTATCTAGGCTGAGAGAGTATCCCTCCATTGGGAATGGGCTCCCAAACTTCGTGCACCAGGCATAAATATTGGTTCCACTGCCAGAGGCCCCATAGACTGCCCTGGCCTCCCAACTGATATCCACGTTTGGACCTATGCTGGATCCCCAGCTGTCCAATTGGTGTCCTTGTGGGAGCAGGAAGATCTTAAGAGCCAGGGGACCAGGAAGTTTGCAACAATAGACATGCTAATGTAGTTGGAGGCAGGTGGAGTCCGAGAGGCTCCATCCCTAGACTACTCCCGTTCTGAGAGTTGGAGAAATGGTCTTCCCCATAGAAGAGCACATAGATTGGTTATCCAATACAAAATGCTCAGCCCTGAAACATACATATAAGTAATATGCAGACCGATCAGGTTAAATTCATATGTTTAGTACACACAGGCACACACACACACACACACACACACACACACACACACACCAAACAGAGATGTTTCTTAGTGGTGGAACACTTGTGCAGCATATTCAAAGGTCTGGATTCAGTGCCCAGTACTGAAAAGGAGGAAACGTGGGAAGCTCTTGAGGAAGGATTCCTGAGGTTGACTGCTGGTGTACATGAACTGGACGTTGGTGCCACTGACTGGCTGTTCCCTCCATCTCTGGCTCGCTAGCAACTGACTCTCTTTGAAGAGGAGTAGGGGGCATCATGTTAGCACGCTGAGCTGCTTTCCTCCCTCAGCTGCTGGCTGGGGTCTTACCTACCTGATGTGCTCTTCTGAGGACTGTCAGCTGTCTTATTCCTAGTGCTCAAGATCCGCATTGCTATTCTCGCATCCTTGTCCTTCGGGTTCACGCACACCGGGCCTTTGTGGCGGAAGTAGAATCTGCAGAGGGTGGAAAGGTGGGTGCCAGGTTAGGGCGTGAGGATCTAAGGCATGAGTGACTCTCGCCCAGCAACACCCAAGGTCCTGCTCACATCACAGCACGTAGGTTGCAGCTTCCACTCACTTCCTGCCACCGATAATGCCTAGCACGCTGGAGAATATTCCACTTGATCCTGGGTTGGTAACCCAGGCAGCAGTCTTCAAAGCCACCTACAGAAGCAAGTGAGATGGCTCAGTGAGTAAAGGTGCTTGTCACCTATGTTCAATCCCCAGAACCCACAGAGGAGAGAATCACTAATTATCTTCTGACCTCCACACGCTACTGTGTGTGTGTGTGTGTGTGTGTGTGTGTGTGTGTGTGACTAGGTCATAGGCCTTAAGTGAAAACCTAACACTGTTATTCTAATAAATGGACATAGTAATAAACTGTCCCCTACATTCTTATCCATATACTCCTAAGTTATAACCTCATCAGTGAAGCTTCTTTTTGTAGCAGATAATAATTATCCCAAACTGACCAACATTCAGCATAAGAGACTGTGGAATTCCCAACTATAAACAAGACATCTGTATCAGAAAGGGAGAACAAACAAACAAACAAACAAAAAACGAAAACGAGACATCTGTATCATACTCCCTCCCCACAAGGTTCAGGGATTATCTCAGAAGAGGGGGCAAAAAAATGTAAGACTGGGAGGAAGAGGGCATCTTCAGGGACAGTGTAATTGGTGGGCATGATGAGGTCATTGCACACGTCAATCATGGCCGCTGTGATGAGTTCACAGACCCACACAAGATCAAGACAGCCAGAGGCCCAGCCATGGGTGGATGGGGGAGCTTATCTCTAGGGCCCCTGAGAGTTATTTGCATAGACACGCCTCTCAAAGGAGAGTCTAAAGCTGGGAAGGTTGCTGCTATCTGAGGAGCTATTGGAAATTGATGGTCGCTAGGAGAGGCTCCGTTTTCTTCAGGGGCATGGTCCCTGAAAGTTTACCCCTGCTCAGCCGGGAGTTGGTGACACACCCCTTTAATCCCAGCACTCGGGAGGCAGAGGCAGGTGGATCTCTGTGAGTTTGAAGCCAGCCTGGTCTACAGAGAGTTCCAGGACAGGATCCAAAACAATACAGAGAAACCCTGTCTCGGAAAAAAACAAAAAAAGACTATCCCTGCTCTAATTGATGGTCCTTCAACCATTTACATACAGGCAGCATTAAGTGGACTCAGTGGGATTAAAAACAGAGAACATGAAGTCCAGTGGGGAAAGTGGTAGGGGGATAAGGGTGATAGTGGAGGAGAGAGACTAGGGAATGGATTTGATGAAAACATATTTGCATATATGAAATTCTGAAACAAAAAAAATCACAAAAAAGGTACCTGCAACTAGATGACCCAGTCAAATCCATGACTCCAGGGGCATATCACTGGCAGGGGCAATCAAAGATGTGAACACACGTGCGCGCGCGCGTGTGCGCGCGCGCACACACACACACACACACACACACACACACACCCCTTCTAGACACAGAGGTCAACAGGCTACATGGGAGATAAGGAAGCATAGCTTCCTGGATTGCTCTCAGATCTTGATATAAGGATACTTGCAGGAATTATGGGTAGGTAAAGAAACAGTCCAAGGTGCTTTATGTTTCTGCTCTGAGGTAGAGGACAGGTGCACACTTGGGGGGCCCCCAGCCCAGCCCTACTTTCCTAAAAATGGTTAACCAGACATTGAGACACGTGTACGTCTGTAAGCCTTGCCAGTCTGAGTTGCATGAGACTGTCTCAAAGCACTTGAATTGTGATGAGGACTGTAACTCAGTGAGTAAATGTTTGCCTAGCTTGCTTGTATGAGGCCCTGGGCTGGGTCCCCAGAACTACATAAGGCAAGTGGGGGGGTCCATGCCTGGAACCCTAGCACCTGGCAAGTGGAGGCAGGCAGATCAGAATTTCAAAGTCACCTCCTATATGAGACCCTATATTCATTTTAAAAATTAAAAATTAGGTGGGTGTAGTGGAGCGTACCTTTCATCCCCAAACTCAGCAGGCAGAGGCAGGCAGATCTCTGAGTTCCAGGCCAGCCTGGTCTACAGAATGAGTTCCAGGACAGCCAGGGCTACACAGGGAAACCCCGTCCAAAAAAAATTTTTAATGAAAAAAAAATTAAAGGCCAGATGTGGTGGTGCACACCTTTAATCCCAGCACTCAGGAGGCAGAGGCAGAGGAGAATTTCTAAGAGTTTGAGGACATCTTGGTCTACATAGTGAGTTCCTGGACAGGAGTTATATATAGTGAGACCTTGTCTTAAAAAAACAAACAAAATACATACACACACACACACACACACACACACACACACACACACACACACAAAGAAATCTGGGGCCAGATAGGTAAAGGCACTTTCCACGAAGCCCAATAACCTGAGTTTGATCCTAAAGATCCACATAGTCGAAAGAAAGAACCAACTCCTGCAAGTTGTCCTCTTTTCTCCACATGGACACTGTCACACACAGGTCCATACACATGCACATAAAATAAATAAATAGATGTATTACGTAACTGTCGGTTTTATTCAACTTTCCTGAAGAACTCAGCCATGTGCTGGCCTGTTCCCACATAAAAACAGCTTAAATTCCTTTCCCTCTCTCTACTCATCTTAGAAACTGCTAAAGTTACCTGGTCGTTCTTTGTTGGTTCCCCTAAGGAAAGCTTGAAAAGTTCTGCTAGATACCAAATATCCAGACAACAGATATAAATTGGACCTAGTGTCTCAGGGGAGTTTCAACCTGGTAGGGGAGGCAGAGAAGTTACCTACACAAGAATATGTGCAGGAGCTGGGGGGAGGGGTACCCAGGAGAAGGAGATGATTCTACAAAGTTCTGAGAAGGAGAGAAGTAAATGAATAAGCAAACAAAACAAAACAAAAAACTTGGACCCCCGTCACAAAAAGACAAACATGAGCCTTCATCCAGTGGCTGATGCAAGCCAAGGCAGACACCCACAGCGAAACACTGAACTGAACTCCTGGAATCCAGTTGCAGAGATGGAGGAGTGATGAGCAAAGGGGTCAAGACCTGGCTGGTAAAACCCACAGAGACAGCTGACCTGAACAAGGGGGGAGCTCATGGACCCCAGACTGATGGCTGAAAGGCCAGCATGGGACTGATCCAGACCCCCTGAAGGTAGGTGTCAGTGAGGAGGCCTTGGGAATCTGTGGGGCCTCAGGTAGTAGATCAGTATTTATCCTTGGCATATGAATGAACTTGGGGATTCCATTCTACATGGAGGGATGTTTTCTTAGCCTGGACACATGGGGGATGGCCTAGGCCCTGCCCAGGGTGATATGACAGACTTTGTAGATCCCCCATGGACAGCCTTACTCTACCCAGGGAGCAGAGGGGGTATGAGGTGGGGGTCGGGGGCTTGGTGGTGGGTGGGGGAGGAGGAGAGGGAGAGGGAGCTGGGATTGACATGTAAGGCAAGCTTGTTTCTAATCTAAATAAAAAAAATAAAATAAATAAAAACCTTGGTTCCTCAATCTAGCCAGCCTTCAAGGTTATCTGGGAACCCCATCTGCCAAATCTTGCCTCTGGGGTTCAAATCTGAGATAAGTAGAGCCCAGTGCAGTGGTTCCAGGAGAGAGCTCATCCTCCGTACCATCCCTCCACTTTGGCTCTTGGGGACAAGGGGCACCGATGTAAGATAACAACTGGGGCTCCAAGGATCCTTGGCAGGTGTTTTCCTACACTGGGGGCCACTTCCTCCCAGGATCAAAGGGCAGAGGCTGGGCCTGGCTCTGATAGCAGACTGTGTGGAAAGAGCCAAGCCTCCCTCCTGGAAGCCTGCACCTATAGGACCCAGTAGAGGAGCAGACAGGGCAGAGTAGGATCCTGGGTCCTCAACCTGACCTGGAACCTTGTTTTGACACCTACTGAGACTCCTTGTTTCTGAGATAAAGCACCCAGTGGCAAGACTCTGTGGGGATGTCCCGTGCTTTGAATTGGCCTTGAGTGACTGAATCCTCAAGTATGAGCTTCCCAGTGGGGTGAGGAAGATGCCAGAAATGGTTCCCTGACCACCAGGCTGCGAGTATTTTTCGCTGGATTCATTCCTACTTGGCAAATGAGGAAACTGAGTCCCACAAAGGCTCTCAGTTAGACGACACAGGGAGGAAAGGCAAGGAATGCACTTCGGAAGATCACCAGGGTTTCCAGCAGAGCAAGGGCATCAAAAGGCATTCCTGACTGTAAATACATTTTCCCCCAATTGGAAGTCACCCTCTGCTTCCAGCAGCCCCTAAGTCTCCTGAGTCTTGCAAAGGAAGCACTCCAGAGGGAAGGGGTCCTGAAATAAGTAGCTGGGGACCCTTCATCTCTACCCATCCAGCCCCAGTAGTACCAGGAATTCTTGCTGTACCCAGCCTCTCAAGAGCTGCTGAAGAAGGCAAAGGATACAGAATCGGTGGAGATTCTGACAAGTGGGGAGGGACAAGTGAGACGGGAAAGCAACATCTGGAAAACTGGATCAATGAAAGTGTGGCTGAGGGCCCGTACCTTGGGCATGGACGACAGGCACCCAGGCCCCAACAAAGCAGGCGACCAAGCAGGCTAAGAGCCACGGGTTCATGGTGCAGGCTAGGTCTCCTCTCCAGTTGCCTGACGGTTTAGTGGGGCCACCTACGGAAGTGGAAGGGAAGGATAAGAACTCCAGTGTCTCAAGCCAATCCCCGGGACCTCTGAAAGAGAGGCAGGCGACAAGGTATTTGCTCTAGTCAGAGGCGGACTCACCAGTGCCGTTGTGATCCCGAGGGCTGGTGCCTGCGTGTAGGGTGCACAGCCTGCGGGATCAATGGACGGTTGCCTTCACCCTTATAGTCAAGCCCCACCCTGCAGTGACCTGCCCTCTCTCTGGTCTCTTTCCCTCCTTCTGCTCCTCCCTCCCACAGACAGACCAAGCCCTAGCTTGCATCTGTCTCTCCAGGTTACCTGTCTCATGAGCCTTGAGGTCACCCCTATTCTCAACCAGCACCTCCTCCCACTACCTTATTACACGGGGTCCAACACTGTCCCCAGCCCTCTCCCCTAACAACGTTTCAGTCCCGTCCTCTCATGCATCCCTTTAGAATTAACTGCCTTTAGGATTGTTTTGTCACTTTTAAATTCTCTACTGTTTTATACATGGGGAGGGGGAGGCAAACACACATACCATGGCATACCTGTGGGGTCAAAGGACAACATGTGTTATCTCCTTCCACCATGTGGGTCCCAGGTGCCTTTATCCACTGAACCAAGGAACCATCTTGCCTTTTCTTGCTCTGTTCTAGCCTTAAACGCGCATGCTCCCACATAAATGCGTATAAATGCTCCCACATAAATGTGTAAAAGGCCGGTGGGAGAGGGAACTGCACTGTTAGTCCCTCTAAGCCTGGTCACCTGATGACGCATTTTTCCAGTTCATCCATTTTTCTGAAATTTCAGAATTTCAATTTCGAATGGCTGAATGAAATTACAGTTGATGGTGCACTTTTTAAAATGCATTTATTTGGGGTTTGGGAGCACGGAAAGCACAATGTGGACGTGGAGATCGCGGGACAGCTTTGGAGGGTCGGTGGATCAAGTTAAGGCCATGAGGCTTAGTGGCAGGCACCTTTGGCCATCTCATTGTTGGAAAGGTACACTTCCGATGGGGCAGTAAGCGACACGTGAATTTTCCCCAATATTGTACTGCGAATCATCCCAGCAAAACCGTTTGTTTTTAACAACCACAGCACTGAAAAGAAAGAAATGCTCTGATTTGCAACGTGAAGGCGGGATCCAGGTGAGGGCGTCTGCCGTCTGCAGTAAGCAAAACAAGATTCACTTAGAAAGCGTTTCTTCTTTCCTTTGGTTAACATGACCCACTGGGGGATGGGGAAAAGGGTTTCAGAGGATCAGACGGGGCGGGGGGAGGAGCGGGGATGCCTGCCACAGGACCTCACAACTGATGGCTTTTAACTTTGTATCTCCCGCATCCGAGGCTGGCTACCCCAGTCCAATCTCTGGGAATTTCTCACACACTGAACTAATTTCCCGGCTCTATCTAGTCTTACTCAGTCGGGGCCGACCCCCACCCCGCAGTCCCTCCCTCCCCCCCCCGTAACCGCAGGTAAGTGAGGCTTAAAGCCTGGCTGGATGAATGGAGCTCAAAGCTGCGTCCAGGTTTGGAGAATGGCACCAGGGGGCGAGTTTTAAGGAACAGCACTTGAAGGTGAGACTTGATGGTGGACTTTGAAAGGGCTTGATGGGTAGAATTTAAAGCCGGTGTGTAACAGGGGAAGTACTGAATAGAAGAGCTCGTGGCCTAAGGCAGCGCTTCTGAGTGGGGCCACAGCACTAGCTGGGGAGGAACCCAGCAGTCTTTTTGCAGAGGAAATGCAAGTCTCCACCCTTATCCCCCAGACTCATGAGCTTCTCAGGTTCCTAGGCCTCTGGATACGGGTGGGTGAGGCTGGGCTGGGACGCTGCGTGGCTGTTGGCTTGGAGACGCAGCGTGACAAAGCAGCCAGCTGGCTACGGCCCATTTCCTCCCAATACCTGCTGAGGCCAAGTCTCTCCGGGAGCTCCTTGAAATGTGCACCCCCTTTCCCAACTTGAGGATCAGGGCTTGCCCCGCTAGCAACCTTCATGGGGAAGAGAAGAGGGCATCTAAGCAAGTAGCTTTGGACAGGCACATGTGCTTGCTCTAGACGCAGGTGCAGGTGTGTGGGCAGGAGACAAGCTGTTCAACAGCTGCAAGGCTGTGAATTAAAGACAAAGTTCTAGGCTGGGGACGTAGAGTTGGCAGAGTGCTAGCCTAGGATGCATGAGAACCGAGGGTCTAATGCTGCCACCGCATAAAACTGGAAGCGCACATCTGTAATTCCAGCATTCGGAGATACAGGTGCAGAAAAATCACAAGTTCAAGGCCAGCCTGGGATTTATGAGTCTCTCTCTCTCTCTCTCTCTCTCTCTCTCTCTCTCTCTCTCTCTCTCTCTCTCTCTCTCTCTCTCTCTCTCTCTCTCTCTCTTTCTCTCCCTACACACACACACACACACACACACACACACACACTACATGGGTTTGGTACCTGGGTGGCTGAGACATCCAACTTTAAGGTCTGTCTGCACTGCAGAGTTCAGGGAGTTTAAGAGCAACTTAGTGAATATCTGCCTTAGTAAAAAGTGGGACCCAGTATCAATCGGGGAGGGGTCAGAAACGCTACAAATTCTAGCACTGGAGACGCCAAGGGAGACTAACCTTAGCTGCGTAGTGAGATTCTCCTCTCAACAGCAAGAACAACAAAAACATTGTTCACATGAGTGGTCCTCCCATGGTGGAGGGCTGCAGAACAGAGACCTGAAGTTCATCCGTAAAGATGCAGGTATGGGCACTACCTGAGCACCCTGGACTGAAGTAAGGGTTCTCCTGGAGTCACTTGTGCATGTCAGACTCCTGAGGTTCTTGTGATAAGAGGCTGGCAGCCCTGGCTGCCTGGGAGAAGCAGCCCGGAACCTGCTTTCACACCTGTTCAGCTCACAGGGATACTCCACATACCTGTGAGCCGGCCCTGGCTCACCTTGTGCCAAGCAGCCTCTTGTGGTTTATTTTCTTTTCCATTTTTCATACGAGTGCATGTGGGGTGCTTGTGTGTGTGCATGTGGGAGTCTGAGGTTGATAGCAGGAATCATCTTCCTTTGTTTGACTTTATTGATTGAGGCGGGATCTAGCCATCAAGCCCACAGCATGCTGATGTGGCTGGTCTCAATAGAAATTGCTCCCTAGCCATTTCATTGTATTCCTTGAGACAGAGTCTCTCCAGTCCAGGATGGCCTTGGATACCTGATTCTTCTGCCTCAACATTTAAAGTGCTGGGATTGCAGGCACGAACCACCAGGCTTAGTTTATAAGGTGCTAGGACTAGAACCCTGGATTTTGTGCACAGCAAGCCCCATTGTTATATGTTTGGGTTTTTAATTTATTTTTAAATCAGCATGCAGAGTATTGGGTGTTGTTACTGTGTGCAAACTTTAAAATATCTCATTGCACTATTTTGTGTGTATGTGTGCGGGCATGTGTAAGACAGGACAACCCACGGGAGTTGGGTCTCTCATCCCATCATGTGAGTCTTAGGGATTGAACTCGGGTCGTCAGTCTTGGCAGCAACCCAACTCACTGCCTCACTACCCCCTTTCGCTTTATTTTTAAACTTATTTTATGTGTGGGTGTTTTGCCTGCAATTATCTGTGCACTGTGTGTGTGCCCAGTGCCCGAGAAGGCCAGAAGGGGTGTCAGATTGCCTGGGACTGGAGTTCCAGAAATCATGTGGGAGCGGGAAAGCGTAAGCACTGACCCATCCCTCCAGCCTCTTGGGGGTATCTTAGAGGTTATTCTTATTATTTTAAATTATGTGGAGGTGTGTGTATCTGCCTGAAGATATGTGCACGCCAGTGCAGGTGCTCATGGAGGCTAGAGGCATCTCATTCTAGCACTTAACAAGTAGAAACAGGAGGACCAGGAATCCAAGACCATCCTCAACTACATAGTGTTTGAGGCCACCCTAGCTACATGAGACCCTCTCATTAAATAAGTAAGTCAAGAAGTGAGCAGATAAGCAGAAAAATAAAAGTCTCCCTGTTGACAGGCTGGCCTTTAACAATCCTCGTGCCCCAGCCTTTGGGTAGCTGGGCTTTAACCGGCAAGCACAGCAGTGTCCAGCTTCCAAGTGGTCTTTTTATGCTTGATTTTTGTTTGCAGTGTTGGGGACAGTACACAGAGCCTCGAGTGTGCCAGGTTAGCACTCACCACTGAGCAACACCCCCACTTCCTCTCTGCTTACTTCAATCACTCCAGAGTCATTTTCCAGGTAACTTGGGGCATACCTTATGCCCCACAATCCTCCAAAACCATTTGAACTAGGCCATCCCAGGCCCATCTACCTTAGCCTGCTCCTTTGTGTGTAATCTACCACAAGGCTCTTGCCCTTGTCTCCCTCTTCCTCCCTCCCTCCCTCCACCCCTCGAGGGGTCCTGGATGGTGTATGACTTGTCCTCTCCTCTCAGGAACACAGAATAGCAAATCACCTTTACAATGTCAATCACAAGACCTGTTGGGCTCCTCATACCTGGAAGGATCAGAAAGTTCAAATTTAAAATCAGGTGCCAGCCAGGCTTACTTGGTTATGGCTATAATTCGGGCACTCAAGAGGGAAAGGGAAGGAGAGAGGGAGGGATGGAGGGACGGAGGAATGGAGGGACGGAGGGCAAGAGTTCAAGTTCATCCTCAGCACATAGTGAGTAGCTGGGCTACTTGAGTCCCTGTCCTAAAAAAACAAGCAAGGACTGGGAGATGGCTCTGTGGATAAAGGTGTTGGCCATCAAGTCCAACAACCTTCCAACAACCTGACTTCAATCCCCAGAACCCACATGGTAGAAGGAAGGACTGATTTCCACAGGTGTGCTGTACATGCATATATGTTTCACACACACACACCAAAAACAAACAAATAAACAAGTATACAATTTTAAATGAATAAATATTCTTTTTAAGGGGAGGGGAGCTGGGGAGGTGGCTCAGCAGTTAAAAGCACTTACTACTCTTACAGAGGACCCAGGTTCAGTTCCCAGCACCAATATGGTGGCTCACAACCATCCACAACTCCAGTTTTAGAAGATTCAACACCCTCTTCTGATCTTCTTGGCACCAGGCACACAGGAAGTGCACTTACATACATGAAGGCAAAACACTCATATAAATAAAATAATTCTTAACAACAACAAAAAAAGAAGATTGGCTGTATGGCTGTATTCTGAGAAAAACTACAAAACAACAACAACAAGGAGGGTGGTGTGGTAGAAGTGGACAGGAGCATATACTACTTTTCCAGAGGACCCAGAAGTTTCCAGCACCCAAGGTGGTAGACAGTTCACAACTGGCTCCAGGAAATTTGATTCCCTCTTTGGACCTTTACAGTCACTTGTACACACACACACACACACACACACACACACACACACACACACACACAGGAGCTGGAGAGAAGGCTCAGCAGTTGCACACTGCTCTTACAGACCATCAGAGTTCAGGTTCTCAGCACCCAAGCTGGGCATCTCACAACCATGCGTAGCTCCAGCTCTGGCCTCCAAGGGCACCTTGCAGATGCACACACACACACACACACACACACACACACACACACACACACACACTGGGGGCTGAGGAGAGACCAGTGCCACTCTTTGGATGGGGCTGGACTCATATCTCCTGGGGAATGGAGATTCACGGGGCACATGCTTCTTGGCTCTACTTCATTTCTAATATATTTTAATATAAGACTTTAATTCTTAAAGAACTTAAAACAAGGTATCCTGATCATCTCTCATCTTCTCTTTTTTCTTCAGCCTGGGACCCCCAACCCACGGGGGAAATGCTGCTCACGTTCATGGAGGGTCTTTCCTCTTCAGTTATCCGTTTCTGGAAGCAATCACACAAATTCAGACATGTGTTTCCATGGTGATTTTAAATCCGGTCAGGTAACCATTAGAATCAAGCATCACCGGGTTTTTAGGAGAGGCCAGAGAAGCAGTATCTTAGAGGAAGTTGCCAAATGCAGAACAGCTGGAGAAGGAAGCAGGGCCGGGGTGGACAGTGGCTACTGAGGCGGGAGGGGAGCAGTGTCATGTAGATGGGTCCCGAGGAGCTACTGAAGGGATTTATTCAGCCAGAGTACAGCTGTGGTCAAGCCTGCGTCTGTCTCCTGAGGTCACGTGGAAGATGCAGTGTGCTAGGACATGAGAATGCGGCCCAGTTAGTAGAGTGCTTGCCTAGCATATATGAAACCCTGGCTCTGACCCCTGCACTGTATAAATCTAGGTGTGGCCACACACACCTGTCATCCCAGCACTCAGCAGGCAGACTCAGGAGGACCAGAAGCTCAAGGTCATCATCCCCTGCTCCATAGTATGTTTGAGGCTAGCCTGATCTACACAAGACTCACTCCTACCCCTGATGTACTAGGGGGCAACCCTAGGATGAAGAAACTCAATACTCAGGTGAAAAGGGGTGGCAGATTGACCCAGAGCATGGAAATAGGAAAAGCCCAGAGTGTCCCCTACTGCCACCTACTTTTCAAAAGTGGAAATCTAAACAATTTGTGCATACCAGACACTCACAGGAAGGGACCCTTCAAGGTCATTGATGCTGACAGGTTTAGGGAGAGCAGAAGTTGACTTGCCTATAGTCTGCTGCCCAAGTTGTGCTTGTTAGTTTCATCAACTTGACACAATCTAGAATACCCTGGAAAAAGACACTCCATGAGGGGTTGACGTATCAGGTTAGCCTGTGCGAAGATCTGTCTGGGGTCATCCTCAATGACCTAATTGTCGTGGGAAGGTCTGACCTGAAAGTTGACATCAACATTCTCGCAATCTGGTACTGGGGTCTGGAATATTCCTAGAGAGCTGCTGGGCTTCAGTCTATGTGGGAAGTCAGTTCTAAAACCAGGAAAGCAAAACCTCAGCAACAGTATAGTTAAACTTGAGACGATGAGAACAAGCAGACGAAAAGCAAAAGTTTCCCTCTTCCATTTCCTTTAACATGTGCTGCCACCAGAACATGTGGCCCAGATTTAGGGTCTTCCCATCTCAAATGACCCATTCCAAAAAAAAAAAATCGCTCAGAGGCTGTTGGGGAAGTCCTGTTATTTGCCTGTGCATTTGTCAATAAAGTACTGTCTGGCCAATAGGGAATCTAGATAGGAGGGACTAGGAGTCCAGGAGGACTCTGGGTAGGAGAAACACAAGAGAGTCCATTGGGGTAGGAGCCTGGAACTATTCTCCGGTAAGAAACATACTTAGATTAACAATTATGGGGTAATTACTTAAGTCAGAGCTAGCTAGTAAGAAACAAGCAAGGCCAAGAGCTTCATAATTAATATAGCCTCCTGTGTGTTTATTTGGGACTGATGCCAATCTAGAACCAGGCGGGCGGGAAGGCTCCTCTCAAGGAAAAAGCTTCCCTTAACAAGAGGCATGCCCAGCTGCTTGGGTTTTAGTTGGTTCCGGATGTAGTTAACAACCAGATTAGTTATTATACACCTCAAGCTGACCTTAACTCTCTACATAGCTAAAGACGGCTTTGAGCTTTGAACTCACTACGTACCCAAGAATAACCTTGAACTTCTGATCATCTTGCCTCCCAAGTGCTGGGAATTGCACACATTCACCGCCATGCTTGGTTGATGACAGTGCTGCAGCTGGAACCCAGGACTGTATGCATGTCTGGAAGCACTCTATTTAGCTAGAGAATCTGTTCTTTTCTCTACCACCCTGTGTAATGAAGTCTCAAGAGACCCTGCTCAAGTTCTGAGATGTCTCTGCCCCTGCCCCTGCCAAACACCTCATCAGTCATCTTCATGTTGCTGTGACGAAATACTTGATAAAATGAACTTAAAGGGGTAAAGAGGTATTGTGATTCCTTTGCAGAGGTTTGTCTCTCTGAAGAGATGAAGAAGTCACTTGTTTTGTTGCTTGGAGCGGTAGTGAGGCAGGAGAGCATGGTGAGGAGCAAAGCTGCTCAGTTCAAGGTGGTCAGGGAGGAGGAAGGGAGGAGTTGTAAAAAGAGCCTGCAGATAATGTATACTCCCCAAGAGCCAGTGGTAGTGGCACCTGATGCCTATAATCCCAGTACTTGGTAAGAGAAAACAGGAATATGAGTTTAAGAGCAACAGGGCAGCCTCGGCTACACAGCAAGTTTATTGGGCTTATTTAACAGGCATGAGTGAGGGGTTATGTGAGCAGGAACGGGGGTGACTGACTCCAAGAAGACACACTGGAAAACCTTCACCCAACATGGATGATGGTTTCCCCAATAGCTAAGCTACATGGATCGTGCCATGCTCAGCTAATCTACCCATCCTATATACTCTAGCACCCCCTGCGACATAATGCTTCTTGTCATTAGGGCAGAACTGCACGTAGATGGCTGAAAGAAGCAACTGGAATCTTTTGCAAGCCACCACAACTAATCTAATGACTATGGTGGCTGTTTGCTTGAATACTGAATGAGAACAAGATGGATGAATTGAGTGTGTGTGAGTGTGTGTGTGTGTGTGTGTGTGTGTGTGTGTGTAATTCAGGTCTTGGGAAGCAGAAAAGAGAAAAGGGAACATGGCTAATTAGAGGCTAGCCTGGGCTATCTGACAAGTTCCAAGCCAACCTAAGCTACATAGCGAGACATCTCCATATATCACAAGAAAAAAAATTTAAAATGAGGGGTAGGGGCTGGAAAATGTCTTGGCAGTTAAGAGCTAGTAACTGCTCTTCCAGAAGACCCAAATTTGATCCCCAGCTTCCAAATCAGGCCACTCATAACCTTCAGCTTCACCTTCAGCTTCAAAACACCTTTGGCCTTTGTGGGCACCTGAACTCATGTGCACATATCCTATCCCCATACATACACATAACTATAAATAATAAAAATAAAAATTTTAAAGAGGAGAAATAACTCCGTTGGCAAAATGCTTGCCATACAAGCACAAGGGTCTGTGTTCTATCTGTAGAATCCATGTAAAAAGCCCAGTCATGGAGGTGAGTAACAGGCAGATCCTTGGGGCTCAGTTGCAAGCCACCCACCCTAACCTCTTCAGTGAACCCCAGGGCCCAATAAGAGAGCATTTCCCAGTAAATAAAGGTATATGGCAACTTTTAATCTCTGTACACATATACATGGGCACCTTCATATACACAAGAACACAAAAAGAAGAGTTAGGTACAAAATAAAACAGAAATCCGAAAGAGAAAGTGATAGTGGCACCATATAATAGTTAGTTGAACTCTTCAGAAAGTGGTGATGGCCCGAGTGAGTCTGCATAGATGAGGGGAGGATGAAAGGGTGGTTTATTGATTTATAGTCTACTCGGGAGTAGCCAAGAATGAATGAGGTCACTGTCCGTAAGGTCCAGGGCAATACGGGTCACTTTGTGACCCAGGAAACAAAAGTTGTGGGACTTTGCCAATCTTAACGGCAAAGAGATAAAATGTCCATGACTGTGCTTGATGGAGACACACTGTAATGAGTATTAGGGGTTGGATCCAGAGGAATTCTGTAGAATTGAGCTCTCCAGGATGGCTCGGCTCAGTGATCTAGGTTTCCCTTCTAGCTGAAATAATATTTTCCTATTACATTTATTTATTGTTTGTCCACGTAAGGAGATCTGAGGACAACTTGCCCAAGCCAGTTCTCTCCTTCCACCATGCCGGTTTAGGGGATAGAACTCAGGCAGTTGGGCTTGGCAGCAAGCACCTTTATCTGATGAGCCATCTCAGCAGCTACACACACACACACACACACACACACACACACACTTTAGAATCTTTATGTGTGCATACATGTTTAAGTGTGGAAGTCAAATGACAACCTTGGATGTTGGTTTTTCCCTTCCTACCTTGTTTGAGACAGGTCCCTAGTTCATTGTTGCATATTTCAAGTGTAACAGTTACTTTTCTGTTGCTGTGATAAAACACTATAAGCAAAAGCAATTTATAGAAGATAGTTTACTTTGGCTTATAGTTTGAGAGGACTATGTGTCCATAAGAAGGCATAGCCACAAGATCAGGAAGCTGGCAGTTCACGTCTCAATTGTAAACAGGACATAGTATGGAAAACCCAATGGGGCAAGCCTGTAGTCCCTCAAATCCACCCCCAGTGATGTACATCTTGCAGCATGGCTCTACTTCCCCAGGGTTCCAGAACCTCCCCAAACAGCACCACCAACTGGGGACCAAGTGTTCAAATACAGGAGCCCATGCAGGGACACTTCCCATGCAAAGCCCTACACTAGGCTAGCTGGCGAGCCCATGCAGGGACACTTCCCATGCAAAGCTCTACACTAGGCTAGCTGGCCCCAGAGCTTCGGGAGCTTGTCTGCCATCTCAGCGTGGCAGTGCTGGTATTACAGAGCCGCACTGTTGTGCCCAGCTTCATATGGGTTCTGGGGCTCTAAACTCCGGTCCTCACACGCCCGCCTTACTAAATGAGCCATCGCCCCAGTCTTCTTAAAGACTCAAATTAGCCTGCTCACATATGGAGTTCCACAAACAGTTCAGACGGAGTGACATCTCCCTCTCTGGTTGCTGCCTTCTCCCTATAGACAGGTCAGTCACCAAGTCCCAAGGATCCTGCTGTGTGAACACATACAGTTGACCTCTCTACACACACCATCACCTGCTTGCCTCCCCACATTTTTAAAAAGGATACATACTTCTGTTTGATGTACAAGAGTGGAATTGGTGGATACAGACCAATAATTACAACTGTATTTAAGTCATATAGCTTTAGAGTGCTTGTTTTTGTTTTTTTAACATAATTGTTTAGTGATTCCTTGGGAATCACACATCCAAATCCCACTCATTTCCCAGTCTCTCCACATATGCCCCTCACTCGCCTCCTCCATAATGTCCCCCACAAAAGAAAAATTTTAAAATATTCATTAAAAATAAAACAAACGAACAAAAAACAGCTTTGCTCCTGTCTTTTCCACCTCTCCAACACCTCTTCAGTCATCACCGTGGCACTGGGACTTGTGGTGTGTCATGCAGCATACATACCCTTTTGTCCTTTCTGCTTCACTTGCAAATGTTCATTGTGCAATGCGCAGTTTGAGGGCTCTGGCCCCTGGTACACCATCAATACTGGATGGCCCAGTCATAGAGATCCTGCAGCTATGGTTCTGCGAGACCAGCACATTTACTCCAGCAGGTCATAGATGTGCGAAGGGCCAACTCAAAGCTTTGAATGTGAGCCTGGGTGGTAGATGATTTGGTCAGCTACCCTGAGACCCCTTTCCCCAGGCGAGGGACAGAGTCAGCTCTTCTAAGTCCCTGCCATCTGGCCATTCTCCCATGCCTGTGGTGCGGCATGGGGCCGGCTCTCTTGAATGTGGGGCCAGCTCTCCCATGAGGGGCAGGACCAGTTCCTCTACTGCAGTGGCCATCAAGGGGCAAGACCAGCTCTCCTAGGGCCATTGAAAGGCAGTGCTGGCTCAGCACAGCCCTCAGATTCCAACATTCATGGCTCATATGGACCCCTGTGATTACATGGGCCATGGAGAGCAACACAGAGCCCTGCTGCAGTAGGATCATGGACCCAGACAAGGCCTTAAGCAGCAGCTCAGGTCTGGATATCACCATGGTCCCGGGGACAGCAAGGCAATCTTGATCAGTATGGCCCTAGGATACCAACATAGTCCCAGGTGGCTGACCAGACCCCAGATATCCACATGGCCCTTGATGGTAACAGGATCCACGGACATCAACTAAGACCCTGGCTGCTATAGGGGCAAGGACCTAGATATGGCCCTTGGCAACAGCTCAGGTCAGAAAGTCATCGTGACTCTGCGTGGCAGCACAAGCCACCCATATCAGTATGACCCCAGCATCATGGCTCCCAGATACCTACATGGCCACAGGTGGTAGCCCAGACCCTGGGCATCCACGTGGTCTTTGGTGGCAACACAAGCCACAGAGACCCTGGCTTTTGTAGGACCACAGACCCAGACATGGTCCTTGGCCCAATCTGGGCCTAGATGTTACCATGGCTCCAGGTGGCAGCCCAGGCCACTCAAATTGGCATGACCCTCAGGTACCAACCTGGCCTCAGGTGGCAGCCCAGACCCAGAGCATTGGCACAGCCTCCAGTGGTAACTGAAGCCACAGAGATCAAAAAACAACAATTTTTTGAAATTGTGTGGAGTCATAGAAAAATTCCCTTACTCCCACTTTACACGGGCTTCAGGAATCAAACTTGGGCTGTCAGGCACCTCTGTGTGCTAAGCCTTCTTACTTAACCACCACTCACCTTATCCTGACATCCATGCCTGGTTTGCATAGTCCCTGTTCCCACCCTCCCTCCTCTTTAGGCAGAGTTCTCTGCTTGGTTCATGTTTTACTTTTTCTGTTGCTTTGATAAAATACTCCAACCAAAAAGAATTGGGAGAAGAAAGGATTTATTTTTCTTATGCTTCTAGACAGGAAGCCAAGGCAGAATCTGAAGCAGAAACCATGAGTTGGTTTGTGTTTGTTTGTTCTTAAAGACAATCCACACCTACCTGCCTAGGGAGGGAGCTGCCCAAAGTGAGGTGAGCCTTCCCACATCAATCATCAGTTAAGAAAATCTCTTGATGGGCAATGGTGGCACATGCTTTTAAGCACTCGGGAGGCAGAGGCAGAGGCAGAGGCAGATGCATCTCTGTGAGTTGGAGGCCAGCCTGGTCTACAGAGCTAGTTCCAGGACAACCAGGGCTACTCAGAAGAAACCTGGTCTCGAAAAAGGAAGAAGAAGGAGGAGGAGGAGGAGGAGGAGGAGGAGGAAGAGGAGGAGGAGAAGAAGAGGAGGAGGAAGAAGAGGAAGAAGAAGAGGAGGAAGAAGAGGAAGAGGAGGAGGAAGAGGAGGAAGAAG